TATAATTATTATGAAACAGCTTCTAATTTTGAACGTGTTCTAGCAACTAAAATTATTTTAAATCCTCTCTATGAAAATTTGATTGCCAATTATTTTCCTATTCCATCTGATGCTCCTGTTATGAATACCCAAGATCCAGTCCCATATTTCTCTAGATTTGCACTTGGCCTAAATAATTTCCATAAAAAGCACAGTATTTTTGTGCATTTTAATAAGCCAAGAATACCTAATATATAAAGTAGAGTTTGGAATTTTGGGTAAGCTTTAATAAATTCTGAAAACATAAATATTTATATCAATTTTTTAATAATTTAGCTGTTAAAAAGTGCCAATGGATTTATTACATATTCATCATCGCTTAACACTATTGCATAACAAACTCATCTCTGCATTAGAAGAAGACACATTCTTAGGAACATCACATTTTGGTTCCCTAGAAAATTCAGAAATAGTTATTAACAGAACAAAAAATAAAAAAAATCGCAATAAAAATAAAAGGTGAATAAATGAAAACTTATATCTATATTTTTTAATTATTTTACTTACTTTACATAATTTCTATATATTTTTTAACCAAATTTATTATTACTATTTAAAATGGAATATAAAATGTGACTATTGAGAAGTAGTGAAAAAAATATATAAAATTTTCATATCAATAAAAATAAAGACATTATATTTGAACAATCATAATTATATATGTAAAAATAATAGCAATAATAAAGAAAAATATCATAAATAATTTAAAGAATTGTAAAAATACTGATAGGTAAGATTAATAAAATTATGAATAACTAAAGTGGATTTAAAATGAATTATATCTAAACTATAGAATCAAGATTTTATAGTTTAGATATATTTTATTGATTATTAATTAAATTATTTATATTAATAATTTGTTTTCTAATTTTCTAAGTTTTCTAACTATTTCTATTTAAAATGCATCTGATTTTTATTCAAAAATTGCAAATATACATGTCAATGACACAAATTGCTCTTACTAAATAAATGATATATTTTATCATATAATTTTCATTTAATTAATCTAAGAAATTAATTTTCTTTTATTATATGTTATCAGAAACAAATAAGGAAGGTTAAAAGGAATAAAATGTTGTACCACAATTAAATTAAGCTCCAAGTAGCACATATTTTGTTTACAATTGTTATTTACCAGTAGTGCAAGATTACATGAGTCAACCACCTCCTTTATAGGTTAGGAACTCAAGTAAGAAAACAAAGTTAATAATTAAGATGAGTCTTTTCCTCAGTTAATAAAAAACAATGATAGTATTCAATTGTCTCAGTTTGGTCCAGGAGTATCAATACCAAGTTTTTAATTTGGGGCTTCTGCTCCATTTGTTTCTCCAGATGAGGTAATGAGAAATGTATAGCCTACACAAAATCATTTTGCTTCATTTATCTTGAATGAATAACTAAAGACATAAAATTAGCCAACAAAAAATAGAATAATTGAAGGGACTTAAACTCTTTGTGATATAGAAATTGTATTAATATCAAGATATTTTGATATGAAAGCTCATGTAATGTTGTATATTTAATAGAAAGGTATTTTGTCCTCCTAATAACAAGTATACTTTAAAAGATGACACAAATATTTCTAATGCTGAATGGTTAAAGGATAGAATGTTATTTCGTTATAAAAAACCTGTATAATATATTTAATTTATCAATTAGATTAAGGAATCATTTTCAGATATGATTGATTAATTAGAGAAGGAAGGAGAAATGAATTTTAAAAATATAGTTCATCCAGTAAAATTTTAATAAGGTGGATTTGATAATATAGAAAAATAAGTACCTAAATCAGTGAAGAGTGAGAAACCATTTCCAGTTTTTATTTTTGAGATATAATAATTAATTTCTTAGTTCTTATTCACTAAGTATTGAAATTTATAAAAAATATACTAAATTTTATATGTGTCATTAAATTGAAGTTCTACATGTTGGACAAGTAGTATGTAATAACACCCATTTTATGAGACATTCCTTATGGAAAATATGAGAAGGATGACATTGCAATCCTACTAATTGATTATCTTAGAGTAATTTCTCTCTGCAAATTATACAATCTCCATTTTCTTCCAAATTGATGGGTTTATCAGGAGATAATTACAATTTTCTAATTATTTCTCTATGGTTCCTCTCTTCTAATTACTATTATTCCATTTACAAGTATCTACTTAAAGCATTATAATAAGGATTTGGTACAATTTCATTTAAATCATAGAATCTCATATCAAATTGAGATTCATATGATTCTAGATGATCCAATTAAACTCTATTTGAATACTTTTTGACAGCATAATATATGTATATGAGTAGTGAAATAATAAAACAGATAGTATCATTAACTAAGTAAACTTCAATTTTGTAAATAGATTCCTCTATATATATGAAGTAGTTTTTAAGATTTAAGATTAAACAAACAATTACACAACCAAATGATGATAAATAGATAATTGCCTTTAAAGTCTTATTCAATCCTGATTCATAGAAAAAGAGCTTATAGTATAACATATATGCATTTTAAAAGCAACTTAAATGACGTTAGTTTACTTTGCTTATCATGTTGAGTAGAATCAAATGATAGAATTACTTAAAGATCATGGCTGCACAATAAATGATATATAGATAGATCACTATTATTGTTTCACTCTCTGATGAATCTATAAAACTGGCAATCACTGCTAATTTTATTTTATAATACATCAGTACAATTATGGTCATTTTAAATGTATTCCTTTTAGTTTCAATTAATCCTAAGACTATTTTATAGAATTACTAGGCAAATTGATATATTAGTATCCTACTTTGGTCTTCAAGATTGAACATTCACAATTCCCTGGACTTTAACGAAAGCAAGAATATATGCAAGCAAACAAATATAGAACCATATGTAATACATAAGATATTATTAACAATGGATATATCTTATTGTTAGTAGACAAAATAAATATGAATTGGCTGAACCAAAAACTCCAAATGAAGGAACTATACATCAAAACGTTTATTAAATCGAATTTCTCTTGAAATTTAAACTCCTCTAAGAATTCATATACACTCTTTTCATAAGTAAGACACAACAGTTTCAAATTCTCTTTTGGGACATTCAGAATTTCTGAGTTCGCATTTTTTAAATCCAAATAAATTGCCGTATACAATATCAAAGTTAGCAAATGTGAAAACCATTTACATAATTCTATTCCTAACATTTCTGGATCAAGCAAACAACTCAAACTAGTTATAGTTGTCAAAAGCAGCAAAATCAAAGTTGCTATTACTAAATACTTGATTTTTAATTAAGCAGCTTATATCAATTTAAGATAATGTTCTTTTAACCCTTCAACCGATCCATAACGATTAGTACTAACATGTGATTAGTATTAACTCAACATTCGTTGTTCCTCATATGAACATTGTTACTCTATATTCATTTAATATAATTAAAATTTTCATAATAATCACAATCCTTTTTATCAAAATATTCTCTTTCAACTCTCACCAATTAAATTCTGAATGAATTTTCTTCAAATTCTCTTCAAATTCAATTCTCTTATAGATTTATATTATGATCACTAATTTTAATTTATACTATCTATAAATCCTATTTCATTATATTAAACTATAAAATAATGCTCTTCTACCTTTTAGTAACTAAATAACTATTTTCTCATTTATTTAACTCCATCATAGATTTTTACTAATCAAAATCATTTCATTTCTTATTGATTACTGACCATATTATATCAGTATTTTAATACTTAATCAACTATTATGCTTACACTATAATATTTTCAGAATAATTCTCACTGTTTTCCAATTATTACAATTCAATTTTGATACAATGATTCTCTCTTAATGATTGATAGATTAAACTCTTATATTTATCTTAATTATTTGCAATTGATTATCTATTTAGTATATATCAATGAATTTAAATAAAACAAATTATAATTTTATGCATCAACTTTTCATTAGATATTAAAATTTTAGAAATATATACCTTTCTTATTTACTCAAAGCTTCTCATTTGAAAATTGATGAAATCTTCTATTATACCTATTTACTTATCCTCTCACATAAAGAATTTCAATTATAATTATTATTTATTCCTAAATTCTTATTTTCTATATTATTATCAATTTAATATTATTTCTTATTATCTAAAAATAGATGTAAGAAATGATTTATAAATAGATTTAATTCTAATTGAATTTTATAATGAATCATAAGTAATAACATGGATTAGATATAAAAATAATACTTGTTATTTTTTTGATTAATCACTTATAATCATTTAGGGAAATCATGTTAATAGATTCCTCTCGATTATTCAATTTCTTTAATATTGTTGACATTAAAGTAAATATTCATAATATTATGATATTATCCAAAATCTAAGCCAAATCTAGTCTGTGCAGAATCAATTTGACAATAGATCATAATATCTGCTAATGTTAATTAGTCACCAACACTGAATCTACCTCTTGTTCTTGAAATACTTTTTTCTAGATTGCTAATTCCCAACATATTCCAATGTGTCCATTAATCTTTCCATTCCAATTACTTCTCTGAATGTGAATTAATATATTGTTATATTCCTAAATGTTGAAATGGTTGAATAGATGAATTGATATATTCAGCAATAGCTCTGTAAATTATCTACTAAAAATATATACCTAACTTGAGCCCTTTGAATCTTATTTTTAGGTAAGATTGGTTTTTCAGGATGTGTTTCTTCTAAGTATTCAGCTATAGTTAAACTCTCTATTAAAGTGTGTCCTTCTGGAGTGACTAAAGCTGGAATTATTTGACGAGGATGTATTTTTTTATATTCTTCTGTCAACTATTCTTTTTTAAGGAAATTGACTGAAACTTATGTATATGGGATCTTTTTATAATTGAGAATGCTCCTTATACGCTAAGTACAGGAAGACATGGCAAATCCATAAAGTGTATAAGACATAAATTAATTAATGAGTTTATCTGATCTATTAGTGGATTATGGTGAGAGTGGTCATTCCTAATTTGGTATATTACTTTATAATCTCTTAGAAGAACATATTAAAAAGTAATTTACTGGTCCAGCTAAATTTGCTACAAAAATTGATCCGCTATAAGGAGGAGATAATACAATAAAACCACCATCATTGAATAGTTTTCATAAAGAAACGGATCATATCCATCCATCACAATCTCCAAACTCAGGAATGATTTAGTTTTCCCCTAAGACTTCTATACTTGAAGAGAAAAATTTAATGAATAACTAAAATAAAGAATAACTCAAAGATATTGGTCAGACAAATGTAATCAACCAATAGAAAGAAGGCATCAATAATTTCATTAAACTTGTATTGGCAAAAAGCTATTTCAACCGTTTTGTTGAGAATATGCTTTAAAAATCTTATGTTAAGAAATTGTCTCATTTCAACCTATATCAAAATACTATGTTGGATGATCTAAGATATATTGATTCTAAACATAAAATTCATAAGAATTTAATTGGCAAAATTTGTAAGAAACTTAGATTTGTACCAATACTTGATTAAAGTAGTTATTTAGTTATAGGATGGCAATTATTACACATATTGACAATAATCATAATATTTTTTTGGACTCCTTTTAATATATCCTTTGGAATTACATTTGATTAAGTAGTATTTGGAACATTAACAGTAAGAGAAGTAGAATTCTATTTTTTATTTTCTATTGTAGTAGATGCATTCATTGTTATTAATACTTCATATATAGAAAAAGGAATCATTATTAAATAGAGAGGCAAAATATTTATTAATTATGTTAATACACAAGGAATTTACGATTTAGTAAATGATATCTTATAATCAAGTGTTCATTCGCATCAATGTTAGTTGCTTAACAATTTAATGTAGACAGTTCTAATGAGAAGATTGGTTGGCAATTGATTCCTTACACAATATACTATTGTAGTAGATAATTTAAATTATAAGCCAGAGTTCATAAATTAGAAGAGTAATATTTAAATTAATCTTTTAGATTTTTCAATTTTTCAGGTTGGGTACAGGATCTTATTGAATTAATTAAACTTTTATTTATGGTTGTTTATGTAGGTCATCTTTTTGCTTGTTTATGGCATGGAGTAGCATTCTATTAAATAGGAATTAGAAAAACATGGCTTGAAACATATGATGTTGCTGGTTAAGACATTTTTACAAAATATAATTATGCATTTTATTGGTCTGTATAAACAATGATTACAGTTGGTTATGGAGATCTAACACCTTAGAATAATTATGAAAGATTATGTGCAAATTTGAGTATGTTTTTAGCATGTGGTGTATTTGCCTTTTCATTTAATAGTATTGGTCTTATGTTAAGTAATTTAAATTCCAGATAAGTCCTATATAAAAGGAGTACAAATCTATTGAATTCTTATTTGACTAAAAATTAAATAAAAATTGAATTGTAATCTAGAATTAGAAATTATTATGATTATATTTTTTAAGAAGAACAAGAAATAAATGATGAAGAAGTCTCATAAATAACAACAAAATTATCTAGTTCTCTATAAGAAGAATTAAATTTCGAAATTAGATTAAATGTAATGAAGACAAATAAAGTATTAACCAAATTCTCTTAGAAAACATTAAGACAACTTTCTTTAGTAATTGAAGAAGTAAGATATTCACCTGAAGATTAAATTTTATTACAAGGTACTTAAGATGATTGTTCTCTATATATAATAACAAAAGGAACAGTATCTGTGTAATTTTAAGATGAACCATAAGGTAGAAATACTAGAGTTCTTTCATATTTAGAGAAAGGGGAATCATTTGGTGAATATTCATTTTTTACAGGACTCAATAGATGTGCATCTGCAAAAAGTATAGGATTTTCAAGAGCTTACAAAATCCATAGATAATCTTTATTAAATGTTTTATAAACTAATTAAATTGACTTAGTATAATATAATATATTTTAGGAACGCTTTTGTGAAGTTAGAGATTCTATATTATTAGGTGAAAATTATTAGCCTGCAAAATTAAGTTGTTATTCTTGCAAAAAGTTTAATCATTTAATTAAAGATTGTCCAATACTTCATTATGTACCAGATAAAGAGAGAGTGATTAAAAAAGAGAACTATCCTTTTTAATAAGACAGAAGTATAAAATATAAGAGAAAAAGGAGTGATAGAAATTATTATGCTACTCTTTTGGAAATGAAAAAGACCATTGCTTATGTTAGAGACTTTTAAACAAGAGAAAATTAAGCAGATAATATTACTGTTATTGATGAGGATTTAGATGTTTCTTATGAAGATAATGATGGTTCACCTAATGAATAAGAATATTGTAATATATCATTCATTATATCATTTAGCTTCTCTTTCAAAAAGTTATTCCAAAGTTTCTAGATAATAATCTTAAAATAGATCCTATTCTTAATATGATAATAATACTAAAAATCTATAACCTATATAAGAAAGTGATGACTCTATAGATAGTCCTAGTCCAAATAAAAGAAGAAATATGTAGGTTAAATAAACATTATAAACAGCTGGTTTTGGAGTTCAAGATTCTTTGTAAAATAAAATAAGAAATGATGATTTAGATTAAAATCTTTCTAGTTTTGGAAATGCTACTCCTTCAATTAAAGATGAAAATAGATATACTATTAAAAATGATTCATTATGTTTACCAAGTCCTATTGATATTCCAGGTAGGATGACAAAAAAAAGAATTACTTTAGTTAGAAAATAAAAAAGAGAAGAATCTTATAAACCATTTTCATCTTAAACTAAAGTAGATGTTTCTTAAGAAAGAGAAAAATCTTAAACAAAAAAATCTAAAATCAAAGATCCTTTAGTTGATATTCCAGTCACTCCTTCTATCTAATCTGTTGATTTTAAAAAAGATTAAATAGATAGAAAAGATGATAGAAGAGATTAAAAGAGAAAGACTACAAAAACTAAGACAAATAGAAGTAGAACTGCTAAAACTCATAAAACAACCAAATTAGTACCTGAAACTCCAACTTAAGAGATTTCAATTCCTGTTTTTGAGAGATAACCTGTATCTATGGAATTGGAAGATTTTGAAATATTGAAGAATTTTACAAATTATTTTAGTTGGAATAATGCTAAAGTTGTTGTTGCAAGAACAATGAAGATTTTATTAAAGAATCTTGAAAAAAGAAGATATTATCTTCATTAATTTTCATTTTATACATTTAATTCATTAGCAATTACTAAAATTTCAAGAATAAAAAGAAAACTTAAATTAATGTAATTTATAATAATATTTAAATTATTATAGAGAAGATCCACCTTAAGATGATAAAAAAGATAAGAAAATTATTCATCCATTTAATAAAACTATAAAAGGTAGAAGACCGAGTAAAAGAAGTACATAAACTGATGATATAACTGGATTATTTTAGAAGAAACCATAATTTGGAACTCAAATCTAATTACTATAAGGAATTTCTCTTTCCAGATTTAGTCGAAATGAATTAGACTTTAGATGAATAACGTAAAATTCTCTTATTTTATATTAATCATAATATTATATTATAATTAAATATGTAGTAGTCATAATAAGAGAAAACTAGTTCATAAATTAATATGTTGATAAAAATTAAAATTATCTATAAATCATAATGATATTGATTTTTCTATTTCTTTTAGAATATATTATTGTTAAGTGATATTTAATGTAAAAAAAGCTTTAATTTGATTTATATTAAAAAATTTCGGATTAATACTAATGGAAGAAGTATGAAAATCTTTAACTCTATAGGATTTACATTTTAAGATTTAGATGTAAGAAATGCCATCAGCTCCAACCAAACCATTAATTTAAACATCAACAGACGAACCAACTAAACTTTCTGTAGCCTCAACTTCAGAATCAATTCCTCTTTAAACATCAAACTATGATTTAAATCGTGCATCACATCCAAAAGCCTGCATTTTTACATTTTTATTTAAAGCACTTGCATTATTATTTTATCTTATATTTGGTGAGAGTATTTGGTCATTCATTTTGGTGATAATATTTTCAGCATTTGATTTTTGGACAGTTAAGAATATAACTGGAAGGTATTTTATTATTTATTAAACATAGATTGTTAGTTGGTTTAAAATGGGAGAATATAATTTTGGAAGATGGAACTTCAAAATGGGAATTTTACTCTATGCCAAATAAATAAATTAATACAGTTGATAAGACCTTCTTTTGGACTGCTCAATTAGGATTTACTTTAGCATGGGCAATATTTACTTTTTCAAATATGATTTCATTTACATTGATGAAAGTATTTATATTTGATTGATTAAATTAGTTTGTTATAGACATAATTGGATTATCATTATGTTGGACAAATTTGTTTGGATATTATAAATGTAATGGAGATCATAAAAAGAAAATGAAAGATTTGTAAGGTGACATTACAAACAAAGTAGTTACTTAATTTGTTGGATAAATGATGTCTAAATGAAAATAATTATATATATAATTATAATAATAATTATTCTAAAATATGAATTCAATTAAGATAATAGTCTTTTGATATTCTATTTAAATCATTCTATATTAAAATATTATTATTCTAAAATTTGATAATAAAGAAATAAACAATTTATGAAGTATACAATAAATTCATTCATTTTTTACTTTTTTTTCAATAAAATCGCTTAAATCACTATCATCTTAATCATCACTATCAGATTCTTCTTCCTCATTACTATCATCAGAACAAAGTGCTGATTCTACATCTTCTTAACTCACTTCTTCTTATTCCATATTCATTTGGGTTTCAACTTCAAGTTATTTTTTCTCTTATTTAGGCTCTACATAAATCTATCCAAATTTATCTTTTTCATCTAATATTTTCAACTTTGGCAATATTTCAAAAGCATATTTTCTAATATCTGAATCCTTTTAAATTATGAATAAATGAATACCGGTTTATTTATGCCATTCATAATATTAAGAGCTTCTAATTTTACCAAAGGTTTCAAAGCATCTAAGTCTTACAGTTCTCTTAAAAAGTTTCCTCCTGCTATTAATACTTCAAGATTTGGAAAAGCCTTGGCAATCTATTATAAGGTCTTTGAGGTTGTAAAATTATCTAAATATTCAAGTTAAGTGACAGAACACATTTATTATAAATTTTCAAGAGATCTGATACCACATTAATTTAAACTTAGAATCTCCAAATTGGTACATTTATGAAGTTCAGAAACAAAATCATCTGGTAGTTTATTGAGTTAAAGATTATTAAATCTTAATTATTTAATTTCTGAATAAGGTTATGTTCCTATTTATTTTTTCAATTTTTACTACCAACTCATTTAGTTATAAATAAATATTAATATAGGAAAATTTATTTTTGGTCATATTTATGTATATTGAAAATTTCAAAATTTGCCTTAGTTTGAAATCAAACTAAGAATTTCATCTCCACAAGTTTCATCATATCTTTATTCTTATTTTATAGCATTTAATGCTTAAATAAGTTGAGTAATTTGATGCTCTGTAAGATTGAGTTCTTATATTTACTAATCACTCATCTACATAAGCATCTTCTCTTATATTTTGAAACCTTAGAGAATCTTATAGATATACTCTCCCTAAAATTGATTTAAATAAAATATACTTCATGTAATTTCAAAATTTCTTCATAGAGTTTTTTCGAATAAGTAAGATAAGAATTATTTTGTACATTATTTTATACCTTCATTGTTTAATTGCTTCCTATTAACTATTTTTAATCTGGAGTAACAGGAGCAGTGCGAGGCTTTTTTTGAGATTAGAATTATTATTAAATATTATGTTTTTTCTTTTATGTCTTAGAACCATCTGAAAAATCAGAACCTCTTCTAGATTAAGAATCAGAAGTTTTAGTGTTAGTAATTGATTATTAACAAAAAGGTTATCCTATTTCCATCTTCTCTCTATTTAAGTAATCTTAAGGAATATAATTGGGTATTATAGGTCCTAAATAATTTGATGTATTTTTATATGGTTATCTTTTAGCTTCTACATGAATGTTAGGTTCCTCAATAACCCAAGAGTTTTCTCCAATTTACTTACGCAACCTAAATAATAAATATTTTAATTACCTTTTCTCTTAATCAGAATGAAAGAAAGCACATTCTCCTTATTTCTTGGTGCAATTCTATTATGTACAAGGTTTAGTCTTATAGATCAATGGATGATATTCATATTCTTTCCATCCATGACAATATTTACAAGCTTCTTAATCTGGACATCCTCCCTTGTCATAATTTAAAATTTGATTTGTTTTATTCCAATGAGGACATTCTTTTGGTTATAATATTTTTGGATCTCTTCTAAAATCTTAAGCATTATGAGCATAAACACAAGATGCTCTATCATGACTATAAATATTTATATATATAATAAATATACTTGATTGTATGAGGACACCATACTGTTTTATATTAATAAATCCAAAAATTTTTATCTTAAACCATTCCATCCAATTTTACTGGGATAATTAACTCTTATTCTGAATGAGCAAATGAGCAATATATTCCATATTCACAATCCTTTAAATGTGTACAATATTTTGTTTTATATCTATTTGGATGATAGACTTATTCAACTTTATTATGAGCCCATTAACACTAATCTCCTCTTGGGCATTTATTAGCTTATGGACACAATTAGCATCTAAAAATTAAAAAATAAATTGTTATTCCTATTTACTAATATGTATGCTCTTTAAGATTTCGTCTTCGGTCAGATTCATCATGAAAAAAAGGGCAAAACTTTTTTTAATCGATTTGATGTTAACTCTCACACTTAAGTGTTTTAAATTAATGATGGTTGATGTGTACTCTTACTTGACAATTTTGATTATACCCATTCAAATTTGTTAGTGATGAATCATGAGAACGGACTCTTCTGCTGCCAAGCATTCGTTAATAATCTATTTATTATATTTATCAATCATTGTATAATCACTTTTTTATAAACCCCTTTTCATCATAATAATGTAATATACAAAAGGTTATTCAAATATTGATGAAAATTAAATTGTATTCATTCCTAAAATAAATCTTAATTGAATATTATAAATAAATATCAAAATACAGCTTTAGTTAATTTAAAGATAATCAACTAAAAACTATATTTTATTCTATATGCATAAATTCAAATTATTGAATAAAATATCAATATAAAAATATATAATAATCATTAATTTTTTGCTTTTTGTTATAGATTATTTAATTTATTTATTCTTTCATCTATATTATTCAAATCTACAAAACTTGCTTCCATCCTATTAGAAAGAGTAGTTTTTATTGTATTTTCTTTATTTTTTTCTCTTAAATCTCTTAATTGTTTTAACAGTTTTTGTGCTTCAGGATCATCAAATTTGTTAGATCATTTATTATAGAAGCCTTTTACATTTTAAATAAATTTGATTATTAATATTTTTCAGATGTTTTAAGTGATAAGTTTGACTTAGTAAATGGAATTTATTTAGTTTTTTTTGAATTTGATTTAAGTCTAAATGAAGATTCTGTTATTTTAGCTTTGTATTTTAACTTTATAAATATTTTGATCTCAATTCATTATAATCCTATTTAGTAGTCTATTAATATGTAAAAGTTTTTTAGTTCCAAATAGTCTCTATCTTATTATTCTAATAGATATTTAAAAACTATATTTCTTAATTCTATTCATTTATTAATTTCAAAGGATTATATTCATTTTTCTTTGATTCTAAGAGTGTTTACAATTGTTTAGTTTATGGCTAATTTTCTTCCCTTAGTTTTATAATTGTATTCATCATTTATTAGATGTTAGGTTACTCATTATAATTAAGAGGTAGTGGATAATGAACTTCATCAGATTCAACGATATAACTATAAGTTTATTTTTTGGTAATAGAGTCTATTATTAATTTTATTTAGGTCTTTTAATGTTGATTTGCTCTAGATCTTAAAATGTAAGAATATGAATATAAACAGTCTCTGTCTAATTTCTTATTGCAGATTACAACATCTTTATAAGTGTATGATATATTCTATAATTTCCAGTTTTAAAGGTTATTTCTACTATATAAGATGTTTGAAATTTGTTATAAAAGAATCCCCTGATTATTAATTTGATTCTACATATATCGTCAATGTTTCACCATTAGCATTAATATTTATTATGTATGCGATATCATGAAGGCTTTTTTCCACATATATTTCAAGAAGATCTTCCATTATAAATTAATTCGGTTAAATAAATTAATCTTATTTCGAAATTCATAATTTATATTCTACTTTTAATAACTCTTATTTTTTAACAATTGATTATTAAATTTATATACACTGTTATTAGAATAATAATAATAATAATAATCTATCTTCTTATTTGATTTCTATTATATTATTAGTTATGCGTACATATTTATAATATAATTATATTTTAGAAGGTTTAATATAAAATAATTTTTATACAGAAGAAATGTTTGATAAAGAATTTTACCAAGGATATATGTCTAAAAGTTCTTTAATTTAAGAAGGGTATGCACATGCAATCTCTGCATAATGGTACTAAATTATAATCATTTTCAGGTTTAAAAAATTTAAGAGTTACTTAATGAATCCACACGGAGCTGATCTTTCTAAAATTGGATAGATTGAGAATTATGGAATCTGTGATATTACCCCTGATGTTGATCCAAATTTAACTGGCTATTAAATACCTTAAATACACAGCACAAAATATCTTAGAGTCTATAAGGTAAAGCCATAGCTTTAATATGGTGACGATTATGATATTGTTTCAATAGAGATTTGGAAATTTCTCAAAATGTATTATAATGCAGGTATACAATATGAAGAAAAATGAATTTAGATTATGATGTAATTGTGTTTGTTACTAAAATTATTCCAAGTTTGACAAATTACTTTTTAATTGACAATTTAGATTAAGGATTATGTATATGTAATGAATTATTCTACTTGGTATTGGTGATTTTTGAAAAAGATGATAAGAGTCATATTATAGCTTTAAGATTACCGGCATGTCCTTGGATAGAATTTGTTAAATTTAGAACTTTAATCTTTTCTGCTACAGACTATTAATTTAATTCAATAAAATTTATCAATCATGGTCATCTTTGTTATGATGATAAGAAAGTACCATTTAAAGGAAATAAGATTTTAAAAGACATGGGAATAACAAAGGAAATGTAAATAATAATTGAATTTTCAAATATGATTTTAGGAGACATAGAAGAAGAAATTGAAACAGATGGAGAAGATTAATAAATCTAATAAAGTAAAAGATATATAAACTAATAGATTTACATACCAAATAAGAATTCTTAGAGATTTTAGAATAAAATTTGAATCAGCAATCGACTGAATAGTTGATACTGAAATCCATCTAAGAAATATAGTAATCTTTAGAATAAAATGATTTCTTTTAAGTTTGAATTTAATTAATAAATAATTAAACAATTATGAATTACTATTGCAAAAATAAAAAATAGCAACTTATAAACTAAAGTTTTTTAATTCACAGATGAATTGCTCTTCCATTAGATATTTAATTATTTTTAAAAGTTTAAATAATAATGTTTTCATAATTAATCAATTATTCTTTTATTTCTCTTATATATATATATATTACATTTCATTAAACTAATAGTATATCTAATTATTAGAAAAATTCTTATTCTATTGTATTTTAGTTAGAATTTGAATTAATTTCTATATAAAATTAATATATTTCTTGAATTTATTATGTTTCTAGTGGATATATAAAATTATTGAAATAATTTAATTAAAAAAATAAAAAAAAAAAAGAACCGCCCTCCAAGGGGGTCGAACCCTTGACATTTGGCTTAAAAGGCCAACGCTCTGACCAACTGAGCTAGGAGGGCTAGCTTGATAGTTATTGTTAATGAATTTAATAAATAGACAGGTATGGATGATTAGAATTTTCATTCATATGTAATTTATAATTCTGTTGATATGGGAGATTTTATATATTATTAGTAGATTGATGTAAATTCTTAAGAAGATTGTTAAACTTAAAGAATTAGTTTTGATCGAATGTTCTTGTGATATTTCCCCTCAAATGATTTAAAAAATAATAAGGATAATCACATAAGGAAAATAACTCAAAAATAAAAATAATTTCCATAAAACAATTTATTTTATATAATGTCATTTGTTTATTGAATTGATTTAAAAAATTTTAATGTTTAATGCTTCTGATATTTATCTTGCTACATTATATAAAAAATGAATATGAATTAAAAAACTTGCTGTGGCAGCAAATTAAATTAAAAATCCTTCATTAATAATTGTTTATCCTAATATTTATCCAGAAATTGTATTTAGGAATATGATAACATAGATGTAAATTGAATTTTAATATTCTGGTAATTTTTAATTACTGACATGATTAAGAGCAACTACACCAACTGCTTTTGACATAGTGAATCCAACAGTATACATATAAGCTCTCACATGATTTTAAATCACATTACTTTGAGAAAATATGATGCTGTAGAGAATGACAATGTTAAATAAGAAAAAATATCTTAGTTACTTTAATAAGGAAGTGATGGAAGTAAACTTTTTTATCTTAAGGAACCTAATAGTTTAAGGTATATATTTTACACAGCAGGCATAATTATAATAAGAGAAGTAATAAACATAAGCATAACAAATTGGTTGATTTGATAATTAAAGAACCATGGCAATTTTTATACCCACATGTCGCATCCTAATTAAGTGTTGATCAATACCATAATAGGCAGTTGCTGCAAAGACTACTGCCACACTGATTGTGCCTTCTGAAGCTGCATTGATTACTGGCAAATTCATCTCATGTGTATAATATTCTTCATGGGCAATTATATAGAATGGCACAGAAGGAATAATGTAGAGGATCACAGAGAAAATTGTATTGCCAAATTGCATTGCAGTAGTCATACTTGTGCCTATTTGAAGAACATAAAAGCAAGATCAATACCCTATAGCAAGATGATCATAGAATCAAAATTGTGATCCAAAATCATTCCAAGAGGTGAAGAATTTTCTTATATAAACAATTTAATTTATTTTTACTTGTTNTAAAAAAAAAAAAGAACCGCCCTCCAAGGGGGTCGAACCCTTGACATTTGGCTTAAAAGGCCAACGCTCTGACCAACTGAGCTAGGAGGGCTAGCTTGATAGTTATTGTTAATGAATTTAATAAATAGACAGGTATGGATGATTAGAATTTTCATTCATATGTAATTTATAATTCTGTTGATATGGGAGATTTTATATATTATTAGTAGATTGATGTAAATTCTTAAGAAGATTGTTAAACTTAAAGAATTAGTTTTGATCGAATGTTCTTGTGATATTTCCCCTCAAATGATTTAAAAAATAATAAGGATAATCACATAAGGAAAATAACTCAAAAATAAAAATAATTTCCATAAAACAATTTATTTTATATAATGTCATTTGTTTATTGAATTGATTTAAAAAATTTTAATGTTTAATGCTTCTGATATTTATCTTGCTACATTATATAAAAAATGAATATGAATTAAAAAACTTGCTGTGGCAGCAAATTAAATTAAAAATCCTTCATTAATAATTGTTTATCCTAATATTTATCCAGAAATTGTATTTAGGAATATGATAACATAGATGTAAATTGAATTTTAATATTCTGGTAATTTTTAATTACTGACATGATTAAGAGCAACTACACCAACTGCTTTTGACATAGTGAATCCAACAGTATACATATAAGCTCTCACATGATTTTAAATCACATTACTTTGAGAAAATATGATGCTGTAGAGAATGACAATGTTAAATAAGAAAAAATATCTTAGTTACTTTAATAAGGAAGTGATGGAAGTAAACTTTTTTATCTTAAGGAACCTAATAGTTTAAGGTATATATTTTACACAGCAGGCATAATTATAATAAGAGAAGTAATAAACATAAGCATAACAAATTGGTTGATTTGATAATTAAAGAACCATGGCAATTTTTATACCCACATGTCGCATCCTAATTAAGTGTTGATCAATACCATAATAGGCAGTTGCTGCAAAGACTACTGCCACACTGATTGTGCCTTCTGAAGCTGCATTGATTACTGGCAAATTCATCTCATGTGTATAATATTCTTCATGGGCAATTATATAGAATGGCACAGAAGGAATAATGTAGAGGATCACAGAGAAAATTGTATTGCCAAATTGCATTGCAGTAGTCATACTTGTGCCTATTTGAAGAACATAAAAGCAAGATCAATACCCTATAGCAAGATGATCATAGAATCAAAATTGTGATCCAAAATCATTCCAAGAGGTGAAGAATTTTCTTATATAAACAATTTAATTTATTTTTACTTGTTCTCCTTGCTTGTTTGCCATCCAAATTGTCGAAATTCTTCTTAAAATACATATATTACCATATATAACATATGCAATAAGGCTGTCAGCCAAAGCAACCAATTTGGTATGAATCCCGCAAAGTTGTCACCCATCACAAAAAAATAAAGTATATGTGGTAAGATTATACATGCCAGTCCCATCAATGTTAATACATTAGGTCTAATAATAAAGGTTGGATCAAATTCAAATACGCAACATTCATAGGTACAAATCTTAGGCAGAAATCAGCAAGAGGTGAGAGTATGTGATTGTATAAGAGGGATTGATCTGTGCCCTTATAACGATAGCTCTTCAAGTAATGTAAATGTGTGGGTGCAATAAAATCGTAGTTAAGGTATTTCATAAATTAAAATTATTTATTTTAACTTTTGCACATTTTTCCACAATTTTTTAGATTTTTAACTTTCTCATTTACAGATGTTCACTTCTCATTTGAATAATAATATTAAATAGATTAAAATACAGAGACATAATCAAAATATTTAATACCAATAAAAGAATTTGATTGTTTTTATTAATATATCATTGTATAAATTAATTAATAAATATTTATGTCAAGCACTTACTTGGAATAGGTGAGATCAGCATTTTCTTAGATCGAAGTCATCGAAAAGACCATAGTATTTTGTATGCAGAGTAAATAAGTGATTCCAAATCAATCTGTATTGTTGGATCACAGAATCCACAATTTAATTTAAATGGCGCAAAAAACAGCAGCGGATGCATTGATATTAATTGATGGTGCTGATGGTTGGAAGAAAGAAGAAATGAATTATCTATAAGGTGTTGGAGGTTCTGGAGATGTATGGGAAAACTTCTATGAAAGATTTAAGGAAATAAAAGATTATCATAAAAGAGTCACAAATGTTTAAACTATGCAAAATAAAGTAAATTTTTTTTTAATTTATATGTGCAGGTCGAATTTTACTATGAATAAGCATTTGCACCACCATTTAAAGAGCCCTATTTCTCTGGAGAAGAACATCATGGTAGATTTCTTGATATGCATGCTAGCTATAAGGAATTTTTGAATCTTAAAAAGTTGAAGGAAAGTAACAAAATAAAAATTGGGGATTATTTGTGGTATTTGCAAAATTTTTAAAATTTTCATGACATTCCACTCTATATTAAAGAAAAAGAAGGAAGTAAATATAAAAGATATCTTATTAATATGTTGGAATACTTACGTAGTTTTTATTAAAGAGTAGATCATTAATTTATTTTAGGTAAATCCTTTATAAGATGTTAGCAAAATTGAATAAAAAATAGATATTGATTTTTAAACTTAATGGGAAAATGGTTAAGTAAAAGGATGGGAACATAGAAAAGAAGAAACTGAAGAAATTAGAGGACATCCTCATTATTGTGAAGCTTGTTAAAAGAAATATTAAAATGAAAATACATTTGTTAATCATTTTGATGGTAAAAAACATAAAGCATTGGCTAAATTAAAAGAAAAACAAATAGAATAAGTGATTTAAACTATTAATCAATAAGAATAACCAAAAGAAGATAATGAAGGACAAAAGAAAAAGAAGATGGCTTATTTAGAAGTGGCTATTTTATAATATAAGGATACTTTACAATAATAATTGAATGATACAATGAATTTAGTAAGAAAGAAATAAAGTAGAAGATATGAAGAAAATGAAGATGAAGAAGCTGTTTAAGTATAAGATTAATAATTAGGTTTATATTGATAATAATAAAATATAGATTAACCTGAAGAGGCTAGTAGTGAAGATGAAAGTCCAATCTATAATCCAAAGAATTTACCATTGGGATGGGATGGAAGACCTATTCCATATTGGTTATATAAATTACATGGTTTGGGTGTTGAATATAAATGTGAAATATGTGGTAATACATCATATTGGGGAAGAAAGGCATTTGAAGATCATTTTCAAGGATGGAGACATTCTTATGGTATGAGGTATTCTATTTTATTTATATTAAAGATGTTTGAGAATACCAAATACACTACATTTTAAAGAAATCACTAAAATTTAAGATGCTATTAGTTTATACAAAAAAATCTAACAGGATCAAGAGAGAAGCAAATTTAGACCAGAATATGAAGAGGAATATGAAGATACTGATGGAAATTTGCTTAATAAAAAAACTTATTATGATTTAAAAAAGTAGGGATTATTGTGAAAATATAAATAGTGATATAAGTTAACATATATAAAATATTTCTGGATTTTATGAATCAGTGGAAATTTGTTCGTAATGCTGTTGGATTGTTTGGTTCTGCAGTTCATGAAGGATAAACAAAAACTGGCACAGAATTGGCACCAAGAGCACTAAGAGAAGGTGGTCTTATATCAGCCCTATATAATTTGGGTTGGGAAATTAATGATATGGGAGATATCTAAGGAAAAAATTATAGACTTCACAATATCAAAAGTCATTAGTTTCGTAATAGTCAATAATTAGGTGTTATCAATGGGGAAATTAACAAAAGATCCTTTGATATAGCCAAACAAAATAAATTTATGCTAAATATAGGAGGAGATCATGGTGTTGCCAGTGGGTCTATTCATGGTTTGTTATAACATTATGGAGATGAATTAAGAGTTGTATGGGTTGATGCTCATGCTGATTGCAATTATGAACTTGGACCAAATAGAAACTATCATGGAATGCCATTAGCTCATTTATATGGTTCCATTTAAGAACCAATTAAAGGTTTTGAATGGTTAAAACACAGATTGGATCCAAAAAATATAACATACATTGGTATAAGAGATATAGATCCAATGGAAAGAGAATTTATAAGAGATTAAAAAATAGTATATTATGGTATGGATGAAATCATTGAATTGGGTATAGGATAAGTGATGAATAGAATTCTTAAATAATTTGAAGGAAAACCAATACATGTAAGTTTTGATGTAGATTCTATTGATCCTGAATTCGCACATGGAACAGGTACTCTAGTAGATGGAGGAATTACATATAGAGAAGCTCACTATTTACTTAGAAAATTAGCATCATCAAAATAATTAGTAGGAATGGATTTAGTCGAAGTGAATCCTTAATTGGAAAAGACCCCAGAATTTAGAGAAGAATTTTTCGGTGATTTTTAATAAGTATTATAAATAAATTAAATTAGATTGGTCGTATATAAGGAACATAAACAGTAGCTTTAGGAATTGAATTAATTGCTTCTGCATTAGGTAGAACTCTTGTCTTGTGAATATTGTATATTAATTAAAATAAATTAGAATTTAAATTTTATTTATGATAATTCAATCAACTATAATATTCAAATATTTATTGATCGCTTTTTTATTATCCAAAGATCATAAATTATTGATCATTTGTTAAATTTATTAATGAATAAGATTATACGGTTAATAACATTTCAAATAGTTTTTTGATTTTAGTCTGTAATATTAAAATATCAAATAATTATTAATAGTAATATATCAAGCATAATAGATATAGAAATAATAATGTTCTAATAAAATACTTTATAAAGATAAATTATTTTTAAAATTAAAATAAGAATATTAAAAAAAATAACTTAATATAATAGTATATTCTACATTTTTCTTTTATAAATAGTTTCAATTTAATCAATAAGTAAGGTCTTGTAGTATTAAATTTAAGATCATTCTTATGGTATAAGATCTCAGTTAAAAAAATAAATTTAAATAAAGTATTATGCAACTTATTCTAAGCCAACCAATCATAAGAGAGAATCGCTTATTTTTAAAATGTTGATAAACTTTATAATAAATTCAAAAATAAATTAAGGAATAATAAATGGCTAGAACTAAGTAAACTGCAAGAAAGAGTACTGCTGGTAATAAAAAGCCAACAAAACATTTGGCAACAAAAGCTGCAAGAAAGACAGCACCAGCTGTTGGAGCAACAGGAGGTTTAAAGAAACCACACAAATTCAGACCAGGAACTGTTGCCCTTAGAGAAATCAGAAAATATTAAAAATCAACAGAACTCTTGATTAGAAAACTTCCATTTTAAAGATTGGTCAGAGAAATTGCACATGAATTCTAAAAAGAACTTAGATTTTAAAGCTCAGCTGTATTAGCACTTTAAGAAGCTGCTGAAGCTTATCTTGTAGGATTATTTGAAGACACCAACTTATGTGCAATTCATGCAAGAAGAGTCACAATCATGTCAAGAGATATTTAATTAGCTAGAAGAATTAGAGGAGAAAGATTTTGATTAAATAAAATTAAATTCAATTAAATTTAATAATCTCTTAATTTTAGTAGAAAATTTATTGTAATTTAAAATAATATCTTTATTATAAAACATCATCTTTTTATTTAAATATTTATGATTCTTTTATTTTAAATTTCCATATATAAATAATTATATATATATATATATATTTAGTTTCATTTAATTTTAGAATATATTTACTTTTTTTTGACAACTTTTTAAGTTTAACTTTAGGGTTTTGTTACTTTTTTAGAAACAGAAGATTATGCTCTAGAGGATTTTCTAGTTGATTTAGGTGTATCAAGTATTTTTGAGTGATTCATAGTTTATAAATTCTCTTTTGAAGAAATATTTAATTTAGAAGGTTTTAATATTGGTTTTTAGGATGGTGGTAGATGTTCAAAACTTTAACTAATTGATGTAGGTATTGGAGGTTTGCAATCAGATTTATGTATTGAAGATCGATTTAATTTTTCAACTGATTTACGATCTGTATCACAATTCTTTGTTTCTTTTCTTTCAGATCTTTCTGATCTTAATGTTTTTTACATTGATTACTATTTACCACTCAATACATTCATATATTTTTCTTCAATTTTACTTTTCTCTACTTATAATTTAGCATTTCTTTCTTCTAATTAATATATTTATTCACTCAATACTCTTGTTCTCTCTTCAACAAGATGATGAACATCTTATTATGAACTTTATTATCTATTCTCTAATAATTAGATATTTTTATCTATCAATTATTATTTTTCCTATTGGATATAAATATTATTTTATACTTATTCTAATTGTAATACAAGATTATACAACTTCATATTTTTTTCTTTATATACTTTTTTTAATTCCTCTAATTCTTCATTAAATGAATTTATCTTATTTTTCAATTAATTATTTTCAACTTCATAATATTCCTTTTATGACTTTAATTATTTTGCATGTGCTTATTTAATTAATTCTAATTCTTCTGAATTTGTTTAATGCTCTTATTAATTTTTTTCATATTTTTCTAATTTTTCTTTTAATTCTTAATTCTCTATTCTTAATTTTATTATTCTATCAGCTTCACTTGGTTATACAAGTATTGGAGGTTTGCTATCAACAGTGAATTACACTTCTTTAGGTCCACTTTCATCATGGATTGAAGATTTTCTAATTTTTTCTAATGAAGTGTATGAATCCCTTTTAGTTTTAAAGTGTTTTTCTTCACTCTAACACTCTTAAGTAATTTTTTTTCTAAATTATTCAAATTATTCCCAATGATTTGAATTATTATCAATTGACTAATCTGAACTCATAGCAGTTAATAAAATTTCAAATATATATTAATTAAAATTATCATCTATTTTAAACATATAAATAATAACTTAAAATTAAATGTTGTTTTTTTTATAAGAAATCCAAAAGAAGTGTTTCACAAAATAATATTAAAAGTAACTAAATTTTTAATAGTTTTATTATTGATCATGAATATCTAGGATATAAGATAATCAATTATCTTTATATAAATCTTAAAAAATATCTTTGATGATAAATATTAATAAGTAAATAAAAAGATAAGTACAATCATATTTGAAATTAGAAATATTATTAAAGGTATAATAATAATAGTAACATGTTTAATGAATAATAATGAAAAAAATAAAATTAATAAAAAAATGAAATAAAAAATTGGCTTGATCTAAAAATTTTGTTTATTTTTAATTAATTTTTAATATTCTATATATATAAGAAAATGTATTTGAATTTTATTTCAATATCAGTATATAATGATATCATTATTCATATATATATTACATATATTTGAGAATCAATAACTAATTTTTTATGTACAATATTTCTATTCTTAAAATTCATTTTATTATCACAAATTATAAATCCTCTTTTATTACCTTGATTACACAATTATATAGATGGATTGGACATGAAAACAAATATCCATCAATTGCAACTATACAATACTTAACTATTGTTGTATTCTTTCTATCAGCTTTAATTGTATAATTCAAAAAGACCAATTGTCTCAAAATCAAGTATTCATCTAAAACATTTAATCAAAATTTATAATCTCATAATAAATTTCCTATTACTCCTAATATTTCAGGATTCTCTTTTATTATTATTTTACACAGTAATTGTCTAATTTATGGATACAACAGTTTCCTTTTAATTTTACCTTTTATCAACTAATAATACATGTAGGCAGGTATAAAAGGAATGATTAAATCAATATATCGTTTAAGACAGCTGCATAACAAGGAGATATAAAGATGATTGAAATTAACTTAAAATAAGTATAGGTAATTCTGGAATTAATCTAGAAGGTTGTAGATTGATGTGAATTAGAATTATATGATGATATGATATTGACTTTGATAGAGAGAATATGTTTTATAAAAATAGTAAAATAAAAAAACATATTAAAAATAATTAATGAAATAGCTTTCACTTTTGATATTTGAATATTTGAAGACCAAGTTTCAGCATGTAGCCACAAAGCAAGTGAAATATAAGTATCATGTAACTAAGTCTTTGTATCACAGCTAGAAATGGAATAGGGAGAATGTATGAATATCATGAGCAATAAAGGAAATAAGGTTAAGAGCACTTATATTAATTTTTCAGTATTAAACCTGTTTTTCAAATAATTTGAACGGATAGGAGTAGTAATTTATTTTATTGTGATGATTCTTCATTTTTCTGTATTTGGAGCCACTGATGAAGAACTTGTTGTATATGTAGTACCACTAACAATGCATTTGGTTCTATAAATATCCAAGGCTCTTTATTTTGATCATATTAAAAGAAAGGAGGATTAAATTGTTAATGCAAGAAAGATCACACGTTTTCGTAGGCTTAGAAGAGACAAACCAAAATAATTGATCACCCAGTAATATCAACAACAACAATAATCATCTTTCAAAAAACCTAAAACATCTCTATATGAGAATTGTTCTTGGGATTAAGTTGAATTAGGTGATATAATCTATTTAAAACGAAATGAAATATGTCCAGCTGATATGTTATTATTGGATGTTTCAGATGAAATTCTATAAGTCTAAACACAAAATTTTTAAGGTCAAACTATGGATTAGACTAGATAACCTACATAATTGACTATGTTAAAGAATGGTAGAAATAGATTACAAGGATTTGATTATAAGNCAATACTTAACTATTGTTGTATTCTTTCTATCAGCTTTAATTGTATAATTCAAAAAGACCAATTGTCTCAAAATCAAGTATTCATCTAAAACATTTAATCAAAATTTATAATCTCATAATAAATTTCCTATTACTCCTAATATTTCAGGATTCTCTTTTATTATTATTTTACACAGTAATTGTCTAATTTATGGATACAACAGTTTCCTTTTAATTTTACCTTTTATCAACTAATAATACATGTAGGCAGGTATAAAAGGAATGATTAAATCAATATATCGTTTAAGACAGCTGCATAACAAGGAGATATAAAGATGATTGAAATTAACTTAAAATAAGTATAGGTAATTCTGGAATTAATCTAGAAGGTTGTAGATTGATGTGAATTAGAATTATATGATGATATGATATTGACTTTGATAGAGAGAATATGTTTTATAAAAATAGTAAAATAAAAAAACATATTAAAAATAATTAATGAAATAGCTTTCACTTTTGATATTTGAATATTTGAAGACCAAGTTTCAGCATGTAGCCACAAAGCAAGTGAAATATAAGTATCATGTAACTAAGTCTTTGTATCACAGCTAGAAATGGAATAGGGAGAATGTATGAATATCATGAGCAATAAAGGAAATAAGGTTAAGAGCACTTATATTAATTTTTCAGTATTAAACCTGTTTTTCAAATAATTTGAACGGATAGGAGTAGTAATTTATTTTATTGTGATGATTCTTCATTTTTCTGTATTTGGAGCCACTGATGAAGAACTTGTTGTATATGTAGTACCACTAACAATGCATTTGGTTCTATAAATATCCAAGGCTCTTTATTTTGATCATATTAAAAGAAAGGAGGATTAAATTGTTAATGCAAGAAAGATCACACGTTTTCGTAGGCTTAGAAGAGACAAACCAAAATAATTGATCACCCAGTAATATCAACAACAACAATAATCATCTTTCAAAAAACCTAAAACATCTCTATATGAGAATTGTTCTTGGGATTAAGTTGAATTAGGTGATATAATCTATTTAAAACGAAATGAAATATGTCCAGCTGATATGTTATTATTGGATGTTTCAGATGAAATTCTATAAGTCTAAACACAAAATTTTTAAGGTCAAACTATGGATTAGACTAGATAACCTACATAATTGACTATGTTAAAGAATGGTAGAAATAGATTACAAGGATTTGATTATAAGAAATTATTAACTGGTAGTATTCAGTACAACATTTAAGATGCTTAAATATTTGGATTTATTAAATTGAAAAAAGATCCAAAGGGAGAGTAATTTGAGAATAGAAATATAATATTTAGAGAAGAATAATTAAAAACATGTTAATATGTGATAGGAGTAGTATTATAGACAGGTAATAATTGTTTTTGTTATTTAAATATGGAAAAATAAGAAAAGAAATCATTCTTTGTTAAGAAATCTAGTATGTTTTTTGCACTTACTCTTGGAATATCTTTAATAATTTCCATTTTTAGTTGGTTTTTAGCATCATTTGCAGCATGTTTACCATATAATTAAGCTGATTTTGATGTAATCACTCTTATTTTTTATTTACTTCAATATTTGAAGACTACTCCTATATACTTTTATAATTGTATTGATTTAATTGAAGTTATTAATGCACATATAAAATTTACAAAATATAAGGGATTTTAAAATGCAAATATTGATTATCTATAATTAAATCCAGTATCTGTAGGAGATATGGTTATGACTGAATATGTATGCTTTGATAAAACTGGTACAATAACTACTGGAGAATGTAGAATACATGCTTTAATTGTAGAAGATACAATGTATAAATTTAGTTATAATAAAATGAATAAAAATTAATGGAATATCTTTAAAGAAAATATTCAAAATTAAATTAAGCAAGATCCAAATTTTTAAATGGAAGAAATTGAAGAATCTGATTTGGATATTTAATCTAAAAAGATTAGACATACAGGAATTTTCAAATTGACTATTTAACATAGAACTTCAAAAAAGATACCTAGTTATGAATCAGGGAGATAAGATTTAGCTAGTAGTAAAAGTATTGCAAATCCAATGGAAGATGGAGATGGAGAATTTGAGAATATGAAATTAGAAGATTTTGATGATACTCATTATAGAATAACACCTGAATTATGTACTAATAAACCAAAGCCATTTTTTAATAAAAAAGCTATTGCTACTGCTCCTGTATAAGTTAGTGCTAGTTAAGGTGGTATGCATTAACTTTAAGAAGATGAAATGCTTATTAAATAATCATCTTATAAAGATGAATAAAGATCATTTGATAATAAATCTATAATGAGTAGAAAGATATTAGAAAATTCATCAAGAGATATGAAAAGATAATAAAGTATTAAAAAGTCTATGTAAATGGATAAAGTAGCTGAGGAAGATTTAGAGGTAATCTTTTCAAGAGAGAATGATTTTTATAGGCATCTTATTCATGGATTAAATAAATTATTATATTAGGAAGCCATTTTATCACTTCTTTTATGTTAAGAGATTGTTTCAAGATATTCTCCAAGTGAAGATCATTTTATGCATGATTCAACATAATTTACATTTGATTAAGAACTTTTAAGATTTGTTAGTTTATTAGACATTAAATTTTTATGTTGTAATGAATTTAATGGTAAGGTTGTGTATATAATTGATTTCTTTGGTGAAGTGATGGAATTTTAGGTTATGGCCAATTATCTTAATGGTACATAATAAGGAGTATTAATTTTATATCCTGATAAATTATAAGAGAAATTTCTATTAATAAATGAAAGTGATCCAATGGAAAGTTTATAATATGTATTTATTATGAGAGAAGAAACAAATTCATTACCAGTTTATATTGATGTTGATAAAGGTAGTAGAGAATATTGGGATAAAGTTTTTTAGAAATTACATATGTGTGGAATGAGATCTGTTATTTATTCAAAAGTTTATTTAAAAGAAAAAGATGCAAGTCTATTTATGTCTCGTTATTAAGGTGAAGAAGGTATAAACGCTTTTAATGAAATATCAAAAGATATGCAGATTATTTAGGTTGTTGGTGTTAAAGAATAGATGAGAAAAGATACAAAACCATTAATTAATCAAATGAAATAGGCTGATTTAAGTTTATATCTTTTGAGTGGAGATGAAATCAGTAGGGTATTACCTATTGCTTTTAAATCAAAAATAGTTAATCATTATGATACTCTTTTATTTTTAGATAATGAAAATGCAAGAGTAGTAATGAAAAATCATCTTACTATAATTTCTCAATAACTTAAATTAGATGAATAAACATAATCCAAACCTATGAGAATGAGTACTCTTGATAAATATCATAAGACTTTTACTTAAGATGAGAAATATATTACTTATCCTGATATTAAATCATTTAGTATTGTTTTAAGTGGTGAATATTTTAATGACATCCTTTCTGACAGTTACTTATTATCACATTTTATGTTTCTGCTTTATTTTAGTAATTCTTTGGTAGCTTATAAATTTAATTAAAATTAGAAGGCTAAAATCATTAATATTATATAAACTTAATTTATTGGTAATAAAAGAGTTTTAGCTGTTGGTGATTCATTTAATGATATACGTATGTTTTGTTAAGCTAATATTGGAGTTTAGTATTGTCATTTCCCTATTTAAAATCAATCTTATTAGAGAGGCAATACAAAATTAAAATTAAATAGAAAAATCACTTCTAATAAATTATTGGATAATCCATTAAATCGTAAATTCTTATAAAATGAAATGTGGATCATACCCACTGCTGATGTTTGTTTAAAAGATTATGTTAATTTAAGTGCCTTAATGTTTTTTGAAAGTAGAATATTTGCTGAAGTTTATGATGATTTATTAGTTTTCTCATTTTATAGATCATTACTTATAATTTATATATTATTTCTCTATTATGCAACCTATTGTAGTTAAAATAATACTATTTTTACAGGTACATGGTTAACTGTATATTAAAGCATCTTATTATTTATTCAACAATTAGTAAGTTTAAAATCTAAAATGTAAAGATAATATGATAAGGATTCTATTACTTATATAGAATAATTTAAGAATAATATAAAAATATTTAAAAAAAAGAAGGTAGCATCTTTTATTTTTAAAATTAATGGAAATGCATTGTTAGATGCAGCATTACTTTACATTTCTTTAAGAATATTGGATGATATACCAATTGATACATTTAAATAAATGCTATTAATTTTATTAATATTAAGTGATATAGTTAAATTAATGGTCTCTACAAATTAGAGTAAATATGCTTGGATTGCTTTTATAAGTACATATTGTCTATGTTGGCTGATTATGGCAATTTTAACTGCATATTTTGATAATATGGATGGTTTTATAGAATTATTTACATTACCATAAACTTGGTTAGCACTCTTTTCATATGGTTTTGCATAATATTGTTTTAGTAGCATAATTGAAATGATCTAACCTCTTTTTTGTTAATCATTAATTGATAAATAATAATATGAAGAAGTATTAAATTATATGGGAAAACCACCTAAAAATGGTGCTAAAAAATATCATAATTTAATTAAAAGATTTGCATAATTGGCTGGAAAAGTATTTAAAAAGAATAAGGATGAAATGGATATTGCAATATAAGATATAATTTGTGAATTAAAAGTAAATTCTGATAGAATCAATAGATTAACATTAAGATTTTTAAATAAAGATACAGAAATGAAATTTAAGAGGATGTCTAAATTAAGATGGATTAAATTTGAAAAACTTAAATTAGGTTTATCACTCATATTTTTAGAAGTCTTTGCTTTAATTATATATATATTAACATATTAAACTGATATTCAAACTAAAACTTACTTTATAATATATATACTAAGTATTAGTCTATAATCCATATTTCTAATATTGATATTCTCAAGTATTTATTTAAAACATTTCTTTTAAATCAATTTAATTATAGCATGTATCAGACTATTAACTAAAATGGTATCTGATTTTGCATAAGATGGAACATATGATATTTTATTAAGTCAATCCTATATTGTAATTATAATATTTTCAAAATTGCATATTCCATTACTTAATTTTATAATAGCTACCTTATCTATTGTAGGATTCTTTAGAAAATTCTTAGTTGGAGAAGATTATTATTAAATAATTAATGGTAATTTAATAGTATTGATAACTCTTATATTATTCATATCTTTACAACATAAATTGAATATGTTGGAAAAGTAGGATTTTATGTTGACTGCAACACTCAATTAAGAGACTACATAAATGACAAATGTTTTATCTATATTATTACCTAAATTTATAAGAGATAGGATTAATGCAAGTATAATATTATATTAATATTTTAAGAGGGAATGTATGAAATATAAGAGAATTAAGGGGAAGTTTCAATTTTATTTTGTGATATATGTGGATTTGATGATTTGATAGCAGTTGAAAAAGAGAATATTGTTAATTTATTGGATAGTCTATTTAGAGGATTTGATGCATTATGTGTTTCAAATGGAATGTAAAAGATTGAGACAGTTGGAAAGACTTATATGGCAGCTGGAGGATTGAGAGCAGTTGATTAAGGGACTAAATTCATTAATTAGAGTGCTGTTAAACGAGTAAATTAATTATAATATATATATATAGGCAGTATAATTATCATTAGAAATGATGGAATATTCAAAGAAATTTAAATTTGGATAGAGTGGTAATGTTAGAATAAAAATTGGAATTCATTATGGTAGAGTAATAGCTGGAGTTATTGGACATCATAAACCATAATTTTCATTAATTGGTGATACAGTAAATACAACAAGTAGAGTATGTTCTACTGGATAAGATGCAGAAATAACTATATCTAATGAAGCTTATATGGAATTGAATATGCCAGATTTACAATTTAATTAGAGAAAAGTTAATGCTAAAGGTAAGGGAGAATTGATTACATGGCAAATAATTACATAAATTAAAAGAAATACAGATAAAAAAGAAAGGAAGAAAAAAGGATTGATTCCTAAATTTGATCCAAGTTAATAAGATTAATAAACAATGAATAGATTAGATCCTGTTACACCTAAAACTGAACATCGTTAATTAAAAGTACCATAATAAAATAAATAATTTGATTTGTTAACAAGAGATTCAAGTTAAAGAATTGAGAAATAGTAATCTTATGAAAATAATTCGAATAGTTAAATTTAATTAAAGGATTCAACATAAAAAGATTTAATTCCTATTAGAAAAAGAGGATAAAGAGGACCTACTTTAATTATGAAACAATAAGATAATAGATCTGCTTTAGCTTTATAATTATAACATTCAGGTAGTTAGAATGCTATCTAATAAACTAGTAATAGAAATCTACCTCCAATTGTTGTTTATTAAGCTGAAGAAAGTGCTCATTCAAATAATAATTTTAGAGAAGAATCATTTCATGAAAAGAATCAAACAAATTTACTTCATGATCTATCTTAAAAATTAAGAAGAGATTTATATATTGAAATGATAGATGAAGCACCAGATTATGAAATTGAAATTGAGAAAATTTAATTTGATGAAGATGAACAATTTGTTAGTGAAGCATTATAATTAGAGAAATCAAAGTTTTATCTTGATTTTAAAGATAGTTAAAAAGATCTTGGTAAAGAATTTATGGAATAAAAAGAAGGTATAAATATAGTGTTAATATTATTATTGCACTTTATTTAATATATTTCAAAGACAGTATCTTTACTTTATATGTAAAATGAAACAAATTGGTTAATTGTTTTTATTATACGATTTATAGTTTCTACTATATTATTGATTTTAGCATTACTACAAAATAAGAAATTAAAACATAGATTTTATAAATATGAATATTTCTTGACTACTTATATTGCACTATTAATAAGTATAATATTGGAATTTATTATATTAACAAAGAAATCAGTTGAATTATAAGCAGCAGAAGGAATCCTATTAATATGTTTTTTCTCTTCAATACCAAATATCTCAATAAAATTCAAAATTTGTTTTAATTTTTGTTTTTTTATAGCTTAATTATTGATAGTTTTAATTAAATACAAAGATTTATCTGTAGCATATTATACAGTATTTTAAAGTTGTATGACTTTCATAATTTAATATCATTTATTCTTTTAAGATTTAGGTACATTTAATAATAAAAGATCACTTGAAACTAAGAAAATGTAAACATAAAATTTAGTTAAGTATTTACTTCCATCTCATATATTGAAATAGTTTTTATCAAATACTAATTAAAGAATGGTGTTGGTTGATTAATTTGAAGATGCCACATTATTATTTGCAGATATTGCTGGATTTACTGAATATTCTAGTAAAGTAGAACCTGAATAAGTAGTAAATATGCTTAGAAATTTATTCACTGAATTTGATAAAAAATGTTTAACTTAAAATGCCTATAAATTGTATACAATTGGAGATTGTTATGTTGCCTTTGGTATTGTTGATGTAACCTAAAGAAATCCAGCTTAAGAAGCAAGAAATGTTGTTGAATTAGGATTTTAAATGATAGAAACTATTAGATAAGTGAGAGCCATTATTGGTTTCGATGGATTAGATATGAGAATTGGAATTCATACAGTATAATATATATAATAATTTATAGGGTCGTGTAATTGGAGGAATTTTGGGTACTGAAATAGTAAGATATGATGTATATGGAGCAGATGTAATGATTTCTAATAAAATGGAATCTAATGGAGAACGTGGTAAAGTTTAAGTATCAGAAGAAACCAAATAATTACTTGAATCAACTTTTCCTGATTAATTTCTATTTACTTTTAATAAAGAAGTTGAATTTAAATGGATTAATCGTAAAACTAAAGGTTATTTCATTGAACCAGTTAGAAATGATAGTAATGATGATTTTGAAGATGTTAAAAACCTATAATTAGTTAAAGAAATAGATTAGTTAGAGAATGATAGGAAATGAGAAATTAATTAAATATTTATTTTATAAATATATATAAGTATCTTATATTCTACTTTTATTCTAAACTTTTTTTATTCATTTTTCTCCAAAAAGAAACCTTTATTTTAATAATAAATTAAAATTAAATCATTTACAATTACATAAACAATATATTTCAAAATATCTACAAAGGTACTTTTGGTGCATATTTAGGTGCATTAATATCATATAGATCCTTCAATCCTTGAATATAAATTTGATGATATTTATCTATATCTTCTTTAGATGGATTCTCAATCTTAGGTAATTCTATTCCTTTACCACAAACTGTTATCATCTCAATATGAGGTTCCTATTTATCATAATCAATATTTAATACAGGCACTGTTAAAAATCTACTCCAATATATTGTTCCTATCAATTTAAATTTATTAAGCCAAAGTCTCAAAGATTAAAACCCATTATACGTATAAAACATATTATTTTCACCAAACGTATATACAGGATAGATTGTAGTTCCATATCTCAATGCATACTTTATAAATCCTTTTCTTTCCTTTATATATACTCTATTTTCTCCATATTTTGTTAATGTTGCTTCCTCAAATCCCCCTACCATTATTCCTACATTAGACCCTTTTTTCAACAATTTAGTTAAATTTTCTGGATGTACTCCTTCTAATCCAAATAATGTTAATAAAAGACCAGAAAATGGTATTGATAATGCAAATCTTGAACTCAAAACAACTAAATTTTCAAAGAATGTATTTTTTGTATACAAATTATGAACCATTCCCATACTGTATATACCATGTGGATGAAAACAAAACTAAATTATTATAATATTATACCATAGAATTACTTTTCTTAGGTTTCTCCATTTCCACTATTTCTCTTTTATCAAACCATTCCATAATATTAAACCATAATTAAAATTTTTTGTATGTTTCTGATTTCACATAATTAATTTGCAAGAACATAGTCACAATAAAAAGCACTATATTCCAAGATTCTCTATAAACAATTAATCTATAGGTCATGTAGCCTGCTAATCCCATAAATAAGATCCAGAATTAAAAGAAACATGTTCCCAAAAGCACCTTTAAAGGTTTAGCCATAATTTAATAATATTATATTTTGTAAAGTATAGTTTAACTATTTTCAAGTATATTATTATGATTTTGATTAAATATATCATAATTATAATAAAAAGTGATAAAATCTTTTTTACAGGTTAAATTAAATATTTATATCTATTAGTATCATTGCTATATTTTATATTATAATTATTCATTCCTTTATTAGAATTTATAATGTTAAAACTGTGTTATCATAATTTAATATTCTCAAAGAGATTAATTAAATAATCTGAATTATTTAATAAACATACAAACTTAAATGAATCTAGATTTACACTCAGATATTTTCTAAAAAAATCAATAATCCAATTAAGCATTATTTTATTCAATATCTAAAATATTTAAATAAAAATTGTATTTAAAATAATATCTGTTATGAAATAAGATTCACATTTATTTTATACTAAATTAACTAAATAAATTAAAAATAATTTAATAATATTTATTATATGCTTGAATACCATATTATTTCTCACATTAACTTAAACATAATCGATTATTTATATGAGTATCCTTTGGTTGGATCGATGGATTGTAATTAAATCAGTTTTGATTACCCAGGTGGAATATCTAAGACTACATCTCTGGAGATATCTATGCCTACTCCTTTCAGATTTGTAACTTCAAATGTAATTGTTTCTTAATATGTTCTGGATTCTTTATTTTCATAAAAGAAAGCAACTCCTGCAGGGAATTTAACAAGATAAAAGAAAACTTGTATATTCTTTATTATTTAAAATATTATACTTATCCTTAAATGCTTCTTTAAACTTTTTAATCTGGTTTTTGAAGTGCTTGTTGAATGATATCTTATTCAGATTTAGCCTCACTAATTTATGTTTAACATTTTAATGCATAACCATAAGAACCTCCACCTTGTTTAGTAACTCTATATTTAACCATGACAGTAGAAAGAGGTTTACATTAGACTTGAACATCTGCAGTATTTTAAAAAGGAGGGCATACTTCTAAATTTTATATTTTATCTAAATGAAGAACTTCTTGAAGTGTTTTTTTGGTTGTTTAATTTTGATACCAATAATAAAGATATCCTGCAACAACACCTGAAATTCTTCTAATTCCTGGTTCAATATCCTTAACTTTTTCTTCATCTGTATCTCTTTCATGTGCTCTTAAGAATCCATCAAAAATTGTATTAATTGCTAATTTTTCTTAACCAGCTTAAAATTATAATTCAGAAAATTAAACTGAATTTGATCCATAACAAGAAATTGCTAAATATCGATCATAATTTTATGCCCAATCTACTTCAATATATAATGCATAATATCCAGGTTCAAATATTTTTTCAACAACAATATCTCTTTCATTATCAAAAGCACAACCTGAATAATGTAATACTTCTTTAGTATTTTTATCTAATTCACCAATAATTAATCTGGCTAAAGAATATTAATGACCTTTTTAGAAAAATCTTTTATCTTATTAAGTCAATGAAATAAATGCATGTGATTTCTAATATACCTTCATTAAGATGACTTTTGTTGTAACAGTATCTGATTTATCAACTTAAAGTGTTGTGGCTGTATATAAATAATCTGGTTTAAATTTGCATACACAAACCTAACTAAATTCAGTTATAAAATCTTTAACACTCATCCAAAATATTCCATCATCTTTTTATTAAACTTAAAATCTTTATCTTAATTCTGGTGTCCATTTTGCAGAATTATCACTCCAATCTTTTGTCCATTCTTTTCTACCCCAAGGCTATTTTAATTTATAATATATAATATACATTTCTTATCTTAATGATTCTATCTGGTTATCCATCACTTCCAGTCACTCTTTAAACATCCAAAATTGCATAACAATGCTATGATACTATTCCACCTCCATTATCTAATTCTACACCTTAATCATTTGTCTCTGATGATGCTGTTAATATATATTTTTATTTATCATTTTTCTCCATAAATTCCCAACATAAATCAGCATCTTTTAAGGTTTCCGCTTTTCTAATAAAATATTCACTTGGAGCTCCAGTTAAGTCTTTTAATGCACAACTTGCTAGACCTGATTCTATTTTATGATATGATCCAAATATTTTTGCATAAGCTTTTTCTAAAAGTAACACCCATAATTCATTTCCATTTGCTCTTGAGAATATTGGACCTCCTTATAGATTGCATGGAATAAAATCATCTACAATGATTTCCTATAGGATTCCATTCTTACATAAGTAAATTCCATAAAGACCTTTATGTTTAGACATTACTCTTACCATTTTATTAATATTCTTATTATCTGAATAGTTTCTAGATTTATTAGGGAATTTCAGCTAAAGCAGATAAGGAACTTAAAAAATAACAATCTCCAAGTTCACCTTGCTTAATATCCATAGGATCAATTGTCTATTGATTAAATATAGATAATTACATCAAATAATTTAATTGAACCAGCCTATAAAAATTGGTCTGGTCTTTTCCAAGCAATGTCTTTTCCTTTTTTAAAATTGGGATCTGATGAAAGACTACTTCGAGCTGGTGGAAATTTTGAATCTTCAAATATTGTTTATTATTTGTTATGCCTAAATATTATATAAAAATAATACATTTCTTGTAGAGCTAAATCATATTCTGTTGAGGTTTAATTAGCATTATTATGCTAAGGAATGATTCGATCAGCAACAGTGTGTGTTTTATTTTAAATAACTTAAGGTTGCTATTCAGGAACGATAGTTGTATCGAAAACAAATGGTTTATATTCTGTTTCAGGTGCATGTTCATGAGCAGGAACTTGAATGGATTTAGTACTTGCACAAATTCCCATATGATAAAAATATTATTTAATATTATTTATCTAAAAAGATATTTATAACTGTCAAAATACCTTTTGTAATAATTTTTTTGTTTGTTTTATTGTTTTTTATAAAAGAATATGTGATCACTTAAATATTTAATATAGCTTAATTAAGTATTAATTACCTTAAATAAATATAGAAATAATTGATTAGTGATTATAAATATAATTTATATTCATGAACAAAATTAGAGTAATTTCTAGAAATATAGCAACATTTATATCAAAGTCATCAATAAATTAAGTGAAAAATACTTAAATTTTTAAGAACATAACAAAGAATTAGGTCTCTAAAACTATTGATTAGATTTAATAATTACAATAATAATGTGTTTAAGAGAAAATAAGAAATCCTATAACAGAATTATAAAATATACAATTTAAGTTATTTAAACAATTTATCAGATATGGTTTATCAGAAATAGTTACAATAAATAGAATTCAATAGAAAACATAGATGAATATCAATTATGCTGGTGATTATGAATCAAAATTTGCAAATTCTCATTTTATTCATGCATTATAATTAAATAGAGTTGGTGCCAATAATTATTACTTTACAATAGATGATTTGAAAACAACTTAAAGTGAATATAAAAGAACCTGAATTTATTATGATGGAACTTATAACATTTATATACATCATTCATACATCTGCTCCACAAAACATTAATAAGAGATCACTATCTTCTTTATTTTCTAATATAGCTTTTTTGATCTCTTCAAAAGGTATTTCTTCTGTTACATCTTTATTTACAATTTAAAAGATTAACCTAGTATAATATTCACATAAAATATCTAAGAATTCTCCTTTATCTTATACATAATGAGATAAACATAATTTAGCTAATTTAAAAATTTCATCATGAGATAGTCTACCATTTCCATCACTATCAGAAATAGAAATAAAAAGATCAATTTTTTCAACAACTGTTTTTGCTTTAATACTCATCATTAATCTTAAGAATTCTTCCCAATTAAGAAATCCACTATAATTATAATCTATTCGATTAAAAATTTATTGAGCTAAAAATTCATTTTAAAAGAATATTTAAAATATTCCTCTTCTATAAGTTTAATAATCAACACCATCATTTATATTATAATATTTATATCTTTATGATGTAATTTATTATAAAGCACAATAAAGTACATAAGTATTATGTAATTCATAACGAGAGAAATTTGATGATGATAATAATTTTGGAATATTTTAAATAAATAATTCTCGATTTATTTTTAATAATTATTATAAGCTAAATTTATGACTTATTCTCCTTTTAATATTTTTATGTACAAAATTTTATTATGTTTTAGATTATTTTTTTTATTCCATATTATTTAATTAAAATTATTCTTCAATAACTTCTTCTTTTTTTTATGTGAAATTCAAAAATTTATTTAATAAGGGTTCTAATAAACAAGCAGCTTATTTAATTTTTAATCTCATTTCATCATTTTCATTATCAAATTAAATTTAATTAATATCATCAGGTTGATTTTAATTGAAATCAATTTTTTTTAATTCTTATTCATAAAGTTACAACATATCATCAAATAATTCCATTTTATTTTATTCCTAAGTTTCAGTTTTATCTATTTATGTATTAATGACAGTTTTTTATAATTTTAAATTATTATCTACATTAAATTAAGTTGGTTTTATTAATTTTTCTAGAGAATTCTTTAAGCTTGACTTTCTAAGTGAGAGATTCCTTAGTTATGTTTTTAATTCCTTAGAATTATATTGATTATCTTATCCATCATTTAAAGTTCTAATTATATCTTCCACTTATGAATTACTATTTTTATATTATTATTTTTTTTTAATTTAAAGGAAATTATATGATTTGCATTACTATTCTAAGAGATCTAATTATGGATTATCATAAGGTTTATAAACAGAATTTTGACTATATATTAAGGTTTTATGAGTTGGAGGTATGTCTAAGTGTGAATTAACTGGAGTTCCATCTTTTAAATAAAAATATAATCTTTTGCTATTAATCTTTTATACATTTCTTAAACATTTGACAAAATCATCAAATCTTTCTTTTGGTTATGTCAAATCTGGAATATACATAAATTAATAAAGGAATCGTTCATCTTCCATAAATAATTGATTACAAATTATCATTTATCTTAATCTCTTGATATTTTATAATAAATTTACCCTGGCGATTACATAAAAAATTCACTATCAGAGGATTCGGCCATTCTTCTATTTATTTTAGCTGTAGACATGATACTTCTACCATACATACTTGCAACCATTCTGAATTTTGGTAATTCAATGATTGAATTCTTATGTTCTGAATTTGAGAAATCAATTCTCTATTAATATTTCTATTCTTAAAATTTTGATGTAGTAGTAATGAAAGGCTCTTCTTTTTGTCTAGTTAAATATAATGAACTAGGAGTTTCTTATATAGATGGTTCTGTAGTTCTGAAAAATAATTTCTAAACTGATATTTCATCTGATTGTTAAGTTTATTTTCTATATTGTTAATAAGAAGATCTTTAATTTTAGAATAGCAAATCAGAAGTGGTTTTGGTTTATGGCATAGATAATTCAACTTGAGATTTGACCATTTTTCTTACAAGTGGTTATTATTAAAAAGAGGCTAACATTTATATAATTTATAACTTATAAAATATTTATCAAAAGAACATCTATGACCCCAAATATCTTATAGCAAATCCAATAATCGTACATAGTATTTAGAATGATAACAAAACTCTGCATAAATTCTTTTCGCTTGTTGGTCCCTTAATTAACAACATCAAATTGATTAAAGTTAAATTAGTTTTGATTGGATATAACAAACCTGTCTTTTCATCATATCTATAAATTTAAATTAAATGATACCTTGGTAATCTATGTCTTGGACATGGAATTATTCCAAATAGTTATGGAAGTGAATACAAGAAATTAATAAGTTGTGGAATGCAGAATAACATCAAAGTTTTTGAAAAATGACCAAGTACAGCAGCCACTGCAAATGTCATTCCAGACCAATAACAAAATACATCTCCAACAAATACTTTAGATGGATATCTATTATAATTGTATAATGCTAATGCTGATGAAATGTATGGTACTATAATCATCAGACTAAATAAATGTTATTATTATGTTGAAATTTCAATGACATTATATATTGCTATTGACAATGCAATAATTATAGATTATCCTACTTCTAATCCATTGACTCCAGCATATATGTTAATTGCATTTGATTAGAAAGTAGATAACATAATCATATAAAGATAATATATTGGTCCTAAATCAATTGTTTATCCAAGATATGGTCTAATTAATTGAGGTAAAACTATTTATGTTCCTCCTGTATATGCAACAATAACAGGTAAACTTGCAATTGGTGGTAATAACAATTTATATCTCCATGCCAAATCCAAAACATCATCAGCAAAACCCAAAAATACTATAAATGTAATAGCTAACAATCCTGAGATATGTGACATTATTAAATCAGGCATATATGCTCTAGTAAATAGTATTCCTATAATATTGAAAATGAGATAAATTGTAGCAGGTACAATGCCTAAGGATTCTGGAATTTTTATTTTACCAGCATCAGTGCCTATTAAATTAAATTAATAGAATACCTTTTTTATTTATATCATAACCAAATATATCTGCTTTCTCAGTTAATTTAGCAATCTTAGGAATCATCCAATATGATAACACGTATGCAAAAATGCTTAAACCCATATAACCCAAAAAGGCTAAGAATTATTCGGGATTTAAGGCACTCTTTAATCCATTCAATACATAACCCAACACGAAGACAACCAAACAAGGTATAAATCTTGTTTCAAACATTCTTTTTGTTATTTAATTAATTTATAAATAAAATTCATTTATTAAACAAATAATCTGAATTACGTGTAAATTGTTAAAAAAAATAAAATATTACACAATTTTTAATATTAAACTACATTATAATAATTATTTATATAATTGACATTTAAAATTTCTTGTTTTTGTTATATAAATAAAATTCATTTAAAATAATTAGTTATTGTTTATTTCATAATCAAGTTTATTTAATAGTATTTTGTTTATTCTCTTTTTTATAAATAACAAAATCAAATATATTAGTGAATATCAAAATAAATAATACATAATAATAAATATCGATAATATTTCATATATAAATAGGCTTCTGTTAATTATAGAAATTCTGAATTCTGATATTTTTTTTATTAATTTGTATGTATAAAATTAATAATATCTCATTTTAAATATAATATGAAAACAAATATCAGCGAAAATTCACCTAAAGTTAACTCAGTATTTTAAGTAGTCTTGATGAATGTGAATATCTAACTAGGAGCTTTAAATATTGGGTACGTTCTCTCCTATTTAACACTTTCTATTGACACTCTTTTTGATAATTTGTATGTTTTTTGATTTAAATATTAAGAGGCATAACAAAAGAAGAAAAAACAAGCTCTTTAAGTTTAATAAATGGAATTTTGCCATTAGGATGTGTTGTTGGTGTAATTATTGGATATTTTCTCAAAAGAAAATTTACTAACAAATAATGTATTCATATAGCTGATTTAATTGGATTATCTAGTCTATTAGCTGTAATAGCTAACACAAATGTAGTAATTGTATTTCGTTTTTTTCTTGGAGTTGCAAATGGCATCTCCAGTTTAATAATGCCTGTTTATGTAAAATCATTATGTCCTGAAAAATATTATTACTAAATTAGTATGATTTTAGGATATGGAGTAAATACAGGTTTGGCAATAGGATAGTTAATGGGAATTGGATATATAAAGTATAGTATATTTAATATATATAGATACCATGGAGTTACATCAAATTGGTGGAGGATTGTTTTTTTGTTTCCAGCTATTATCTTTATAATCAGATCTACTGTTATATATTGTTGTTATAATTATGACAGTCCAGAATAATCAATATAAAGAAATGATATAGAAAAAGCAAAATATGTAATATATTGACTTATAAATTAAATAGGTTATTATGAAAATATATAAGGAAGAATATGTAGAATGTTAATTAGATAGATATAGATAAATAGCATAAAATGAACAATTAAAAACATAGAATTCATTTTTACATATATTTTAAAAAAAGAATCTAATTGGATTACAAGTTGGTGTTATATCAGTAATAGATTATATTATAAATATTTAGATGTTTGTTTAAATTTGGTGTGGTTCCTTTGCTGTATTTTATTATAGTGCTTAAATCTTTGAACAATTATCAGGTGGAGATTTAGTATTGAAAACAATTTATACTATATGTATTGGTTTATTTAGTGCAGTTGCTTAATTTACAACAATACCAATGTTGCCTAGATTAGGTTAAAAATATATTTTAAGTATTAAAGTCTAATTTAAAATAGTTATTGGATCTATTTTGATGGGTGCCATTAATATTACTATAGCAATTTTATCTAATTATCAAAGTGATACTATATTATTTCTTATTTTTGTCTTTTTAGTGCTTTTAATTATGGTATTTGCAGCAACATTAAGTCCAGTATGTTGGGTAATATATTATTTTTATAGTTTAGGGAATTGTGCCATAATTAAATGATAGTGATGGAACTTTTTTTACAATGGATTTGAGATGGATATTTTAAGCCATTTTAATCTTCTCTTTTCCATATATTGTTTAAAGTGTAAATATTTCAGGAGCATTCTATATTTTTGGAGGTATAGATCTCTTTTATACAATCTATTGTGGATTTTTTATACTTGATAGTAGAGGGAAAACAGGGACTTAAATATTAGAAATGTATTTTCAAAAGTATTCTAAATTTTTGGTATTACCATAAACAGAAACAAATCCATGAAACTATATGTAATTATTATTATTTAATATATTTAATTAATATATAAGATTATTATCTATATTATTTATTTATACTAATACTATATTATATATATATATATTAAATATATTTTATAGATTAATAGAAACTTGTAATTAATATTATTTAATTAAATAAATTATTGATTAATTATAATTTTTCATAAAATGAATTCAAATATTGAATCAAATACTTCAGAATAATAAAAAAAAAATAATAATAAAAACTATCTTTAAATCATTTATTACAAAATTAATCAAAAATTATCTTCACAAGTATATTAAGTTGGTTCAACAATTTGATTTCCATTTTACCAATATGATATTTTATCTAAATGATTCTTTTTTTAAAGGATTGCTTAACCATCAAACTATCCATCTCGAAAATAACCAATATATCTCCTTCCATCAGCAAATTTATTTATTCCAAATCCATTCTTTTTATTTCTTTTATATTCTCCAATATATTCTTAATTATTTGATTTCCATATAAAATGACCAATACCTTCCATCTATCCATTTTTCCATTCTCCCAAATATATATTTCCATTTGCAAAACTCATTTATCCATATCCATTAAAACTATCATCAGAAAATTCACCAAAATAAATCGAACCATCTTGCCAAATATATTTTCCAATACCATTTCTCTTTCCATTTTCATCAAGTAAACCAGTAAAATTTGCACCATTTGGACAATTTTGAAAAGTGTCTAATTTTAAATCATATGAAAGCTATAAAAAAGGAAATACATCATCAACTAATCTTCCCTAAAAAAATACACCTTACTAACTTTAAAATATAATTCTTTACCTTTATTGTACCATCTTAATAAATTAACGTTCCTTTACCATGGAATTAATCCATAAAAAACTCACCTTAATAATAGCATAAAGTATTTTTATTAAACTATTTACCAAACCCACATTTCATATTAAACATCACATCTCCATAAAAATAAACATCATCCTTCTCTATCTCCTTAAAAGAGAGTGAATCTTTATCTACCAATTGTAATTTCTCTTTTAATTTCATTATTTCCTATGTAATTGGAGGCTTTTCTTAAATATTATTGATACATAATCATCTGTTATCAATTTAATGTCATCATTCTTTTTTTATTATTTATCTTCTGAAACTGATTTTGATGATTCAATCTATTAAGTTTAAACAGGGGATGCTTCTCCAGAATTGGTAACAGGATAAACTTTTCTGCTTGAAGGTAATTTGGGTTTTTAAGACATAAACTTGATTAAATTTTATATATTTTAAAAAAAAACTTTTTTTTAATTTAAATTGGGCTGTTTTTACAACTAAATGCAAGAACATCATTAAATATACTTAAGTATAACAATATTTTTGATGAACTAGATAGATTATAATATTCTTTAACATATTATAATTAAATCTTATTTTTAATATACATTTGAATGTTTGTTTTCATGATTCTAATTATGAATATTTTAGATTTTATTTAATAAAATAAATAAAAATTTGATATCTATTACAATTAAGTTATCAATAATTTATCAAATAAATTGTAATAGCTAGGATGATACAGTAAATTACATGATATTAATAAAATTTAAACATTACTATATATATTTTAAATCTATTCAAACTTATTAAAATAAAATAAATGAATATTTATGAACTTCAACAAATGATATTAATACTTTATTAGCTATCAATATGATATTTTTAATAATTTAAAACAATATTATAACTATCATAGATCATTTTATTTACAAATATAAAACATTTAATATATAGTTTTATATATAAAAATAATTCTTTGTATTAATATATTGGCATTTTTTGCTATAGTTTTATTTAGATCCATAATATAATATAATACAAATATATTTATATACTCATTTATTTAATATAATAATTTTTAAGAGAATAATTGATGTAACAACTGATTATTTAAACTCTTTTGAAATATAATGAAATATTTGATGCAATATAGTAAGTATTCCAATTGCATAATTACAATTGTAATGATTAAAAGAACTTATTGACAAAATACTTAGAATAAAATTAAAAATATTAAACATGTATATATGTTACACTAAATGAAAATTCTGATTTCCTTGGGATAAATGAAAGATTTCTAAAATATTAAAAATCTATAAATACAAACATAGAAAATCTTTTTGAATTCAATTAAAGTAAAGCATATATATTGATTAATTAGCTTAATTTCAAAAAATGGTTTCAACTGAGATAACTAAAATTGATAATAATTTCAGTAATAAGATTCTAAATGTTCAAGATGATATTAATTAATTTAAAACAAATGTTGATGTTACTTATTAGACTATTTTGAATGCAAAATAATAATAAAAATTTTAAACGTAAACCAATGAAAAAATTAACGAAGAGATAGATTATATTAAACATAAATATGCTTTAAAATAGAATTTAGATGATAATTTTGTAATATTTTTGAATATATGAATAGAATGAAATTCGTGATTGTATTTCTAATGTATCCTAAAGTATTAGTTATTTAAGAAATGATGTATAACTTTTGTTTAAAAATACAAAAGAAATGAAAACTCAAACATAACAAGATAGTACATTATTTAATGAACGTTTGTAAACTCTTGTCAAAGAAGTTTAATAAATTGATGAATGCTTTAATTAATTAGGAGCCTTATCAAAGAGATTAGAAAATTGTAAAACTGGTACATATTAGTTAATGATTTGAAGATATTAATTAAACATAAGAAAAATTTAAAACTTTAGCAATTCTATTTTAAGAACTTGAAGTTAATAATTCAAAAGCAGTAAAATTTGAAGTGCATTCAGCTGTCAAAAAATTTGATGAAGACTCATTTAAAATAGGCCTAATTTAGGAAAGATAAGGTAATTAATAAGAATAATTACTTATAAAATTATAAAATATTCTTGAATAAAATGTTGGGATCTAATCCAATTAACTATCAATATAAGAATAGTTTAATTAAGAAATTAAAACTCTTTAGAAATAGATATCTCGTTAATAAAAGTATATTGAATAATTAAAAGAAAAGTAAATATAATTATAAATTAAAGTATCTCCAAAACTAGTTAAAATTCAGCTGATCTACCCTTATAAATAAAAGGATTGAATTCTTAATTATAATATTAATGGAAATATCTAAATTAATGCTTTAACTTAACAAAAGATTCTTTAGACATTATATAAGATTTTTGTGAAACACTTTAAGTTCCATCTATTAATTAAGAAAAAGATTTAACAAATTTAATATTGTTATTAGATAGAAGATAAAATGAATTAAAAAGGAATCTTCATTAAACACCTACATAATCATCAAATTTTTAGTCTAGAACATTGATGAGACTACAAACACCTAAATCATCATAACCATATGAAACACCTGCTAGAATACATTCACTATAATAAAGAAAATGTATTTATAGTAAAAATGGAAGTCAAACAATAAGTGTAGACTCTAAAAAAGAGACATTATTATAAAATTGAATGTAGAAATAGTAATAGCCCTTATTAATTCATTTATTTTATTTGATTTTTGTTTCATAAAAATAAATGATAATAAAAAATAAACCATAAGAAATATTTATTAGTTCGTTCTCTTTAATCTACACATAAATTCAATATGGACTGAATTTCTAATAGGATATACTTAATGTATAAACAACTATTATTATTCTTATTTGATATTAATAATAAAGATTTTAATTTAAAAGATGTAATATTAAAATTTAAATCTCTTATATTATATATAATATTAGATTTAATTATTATTATTATTTTTATATATCCTTTTATAATGTATTTTAATAGGATTGTATAATTTTTTATTAAAATTGTTGGCATTTTATGAATTTTATAAGCCAATTCATTTATATAATATTTGATATTAAAAATTAAACAATTTTATTTATGTTGTTTAAATTTAGTTAGCTTGTAAAATAGCCATAAGTTTATGATACTTAACTATTATCTAAAATGTATGTAATTTTAGTATATTAGATGTCCATTATAGTTAAGACACAAATATTTAATATTAGAATAGAAAATAAGAGAGGCTAAAGAGTTAGAGCTAGAAATCTATAAAATGAAAGATGAAGATGAAGGATGGAAAAAATTAAAGATCAGTTTAGAATTCACTCCCTAAAATACTTTGAATAGTAAATTCATAATCAGTATAGAATTAGAATGAAATTTTAGTAAGGCATGCTTTGGCATGGCATAATTATTTTAAAAGAGTAACAGAATTTAAAGATTCAAATATCTATCATTATGATTTGATTGATCCTCCTTTACAATATTTAGGGACAAAATAATGCGATAAATTAAAGTTAGAAATAAATAAATTGGACTTTGATAAAGTCTATGTGTCACCATTGTTAAGGCATATTATTTGAAAGTAACTATAGAGCAATACAAACAACTCAACTATTGTTTTGCAACCATCCATAGAAAGAGAAGATATAATTTATACTATGTCCGGACATATGTGAGAAAATAAGTACGATAAATTCAATTTATAAATGGGGAACTCTTACAGATATTTTAAAAGATGTATCCTTTCTATAAATTATATTTAGAATGGAAATCCAATAAAATTTGATTTTAGTTAGATGCCAGATAATCTTGAATTTTGGTAATTCAATTTATTACAAAAATGTTACAATTTAAGTGATTGTTAACCTAATAAGGAAGATTAAGAAAGATTCTTAGTTGAAGAGTTTGTTAAAAAAGGATCAAGCTTTTAATTAGAATATAGTAGGAATGTGATGAATAGAGTATAAGGATTTGTAGATAAAATAAAAGAGGATTAAACTTAAAGTAAAATTGGTATAGTAACTCATTTTCAAATTATCAAATCAATATTATAATGTAGCAGATAAAGAATAGATTTTAAATTCGGTAATGGAGCTGTGTTTGGATTAAATTTATGATTTTTGTGATTAATTGATATTATTTATAAATATTGAATTAATGGATTTGTTTAGGAAGACTGATAAAACCTAAGCTGAAATCGAAGTATTTATTGTGTTTAAAATAGATTCTATATAAAGAATAATTCTTAAAATTAGAACCATTTATTAAAGTACTTACTTTATAAAGTCATTCTGAATATTTAGAAGTAACTTCACTTTTATAGATTCTAGCTCATCCGAAGAATAAAAGTGTATGAATTGATGGCATTTAATTTAGTGCCATAAAATGAATAGGATAATTTATATATGTTTTATTAAGGAAGAATGAGATAAGATTTATCAGATCTTGAAGATTTGGATGAATTTGCATCTAAATTTAAATTTATAAAGAAAAAAAAATAATAGTATTAAGAAGATTTACCTGAAGGTTATTTAATAGATAGATAAAATATGAATAAAATAGTATGAAATATTTTAAATTAGTTTGCAGTTGAAAATTGTATATTACTTATGTTAACACCTACTGATATTACATCATTATTACTTAAACATGAGTAATTAATAAGATAGAAAAGACATTTCTTTTTAAATACCTTCAAACCTACAAATGTGGATGATAAATAATTATTATGTCAAATTGCTGATTCACTTTAAGTATTTCATAAATACATTAGCTTTTCTATTATGAAGAACTCGCTTGTATTATGTAATTATATGAAAAAATGGATAATTTATTTATCATTTTTACAGGAACAGTTCAAATCTATACTAAAAGAAACATAATTATGGAATGCAACCCTATGGATTTTATCAATGAAGAATGTGCCATGGCTAATTATTCAGCATAAGTACTATCCAAAGATGCATAATTATTTAAAATAGATAAAGTATTACTATAATTGTTTCCAGAATCTGCTAAATAACTTATTGAAAACTCAAAAAAACATAAAAGCATGTTAAGAAGAAAATTAGTAGAAAATCATATTGTTGACTTATAAATCCCAGAAAATTAAGCCTATAAATTCTAAAGATAACATAAATTTAGAAGCATGATTTCTTTAGATAAGTTATTTAAACCAGCTTAACCTCTTTAATAGAGATCTGAATAAACTACAATGACAGGATTCAACAGAAAAGATACATTACATAGAAAAAAGTTATCAACAGGAAGTATTGAGATATCAGATAAAGAAGTTGTTCAAGTTCTTTTCAACAAAAATTAATTTACATCTAATCGAACACTTTAATCTTAAACTTCTGATAAATTTAGTCGATCATCCTCAAATATCTCAAAATTGCTTAACTTTAATTTCTAATCTGTTTAACTGACAAAATCCTCAAAAAAAGTTTAAAGTTTATGCTTATTACCAGAGATGTCTCAAAAATAAAATAAAAAATCCTCATTATTATTATGAATAATTATAATAAGTTTTTTTTAATCAAATCTAATTCTTACCTTTAATTGGTATTAATAAAAAAAGGATTTTAATTTTATATTATTAAATATATATTATTGGATATTAATTAATTCTGATATCATTTGATAATTACATAATCTTTGATTATATTCTAAACTAAAACAAGTAAAACCCTTAAATTTTTTAGTTACAAACAAAAAGAACTATTTAATAAACAAAATTAACTTTTTATTGAAAATACTCTTGTCTTTTTCATTTAAACAATATACTCATTTCATTTGAGCTTATTATTAAATTCATTAACTTAAACAATTCAAAAGTCTTAATGAATTTTCAGATTCAATATTTATTTTAGATTATGGTCTTCTAAATATCAAATTAATTTTGTAAAGTGTATATACTAAACAATTTGAATAATAATTTGTAATTATAGGTAATCAATTCATTTCTTAGAATTTTTCTTATTCTATTCTAGTAATTTATTTTAGTATTCTTCTGGAAAAGCAGCTTCATCTAATTTTTACCAAAATTTTTTTTTCATATATTCTGTTTTGTGTACAAATCTATTGAACGACGAATTTTAAACTAAATATTGGGTAAGATGAGGGTTTTCTTTAGCATTTAAGAAAATGTTCAATTTATTTAAAAAATTTCTCATAAAATTATTATTAATAATAAATAATCTCATTAAAATTATTAAGAATATTTATTCTTAATTAAAGAGGGTTTATATCTATATATTCTAACATTCTATTAGAATCTTTTTTTCTTTTTTAATTAAAATCAATTATAATAGCCTGAATTAAGTTTATACTTATTCATTTCATGATTGATATTAAAAAATATCATCTATAAAAAATTATAATACTCTAATTCAAAATCATTCATATTTATTAATATTCGTTTTATAATTAATAAACTTAATAGTCTTCATTTAAATTATATATTATAGTATATTATAATAATATATATTTAAAAACATCGAAATATTATTAAATGGTTAATTTTTTTATTGTCAAAAAATTCCAAGAAGGACTTCTTCTTTTTGAATTATTATTATACAAAATCCATTAAAATAAGAAAATTAATAATCTTTTAATTTAACTAAACTTAATTCAATGATTGAAGAATATGATTTATATTAGCTGTAATTTTGTAATGGACATTGTTGTTTAGATTTGATTACTTTCAGACACAGAAATCTAATTTGATAATTCTATAGAAATTTATTTTAAGAAATTGAGCTAATATAATGTAAACAATTATAGAATTAGTAATTAAAAACACTATTTAAGTGTTACTCTAATATTTAATTTATATATGAATATTATAGATTGTAAGAACAAGCAAGTTTTTAATTAGAATTATTCTAATTTTATTCCAACATAATTAGAATATTTAGTCCAATTATAATGAATTCATAAATAAATAATGTATGATTATTAATAATGACAATTATAATTCATTCCTTCTTTGGAACTTCCTCTTACAAGGCCTTATTGCTTTCATAGGCTTTTTCGAATTCTGTTTTAAATCTTTCGACTTCTTCTGGTGAAGTAAATCGAACACACAATTGCCAAACTTTTGGTTGTTCATCAGAAGCGTCATAGCATGTCCATATCCATGACTTGTCGGCTGTCTTCAATTAGGATAATTTGCAAAATCCCTCTTATGCTGTGATGAAATGATTAGCAATTAATTTTCCTGTCTTGTCTTATCTCATAAGTAATCTGATTTTATTTGTTTATTTATTTTTAAGGAATTTCATGTCTCCAACACCTCTTTCCTAAGAGTAAATCGCATATATTACCTTCCATTAAGAATCTGCAAATCTATAAATTTTAGCTCGGAATTTAGCTACTTCTTCATCATTTTCCTCTCCAGTTTAAACAGGTAGTTAAGGAAGAGTAGCCTACCCTTCTCCTACAAACACTTCTTATTCTGGGTTATAGTCTTCTCCTACTTATTCATCATCATCACCGTGAGGGTCCATTGATTAAATTAAAAAATTATTTAAATATTTAAATTTATATTGGTGGGTGATGTCCTTTAATTATGATTTCTAAACAATAGAATCATTAGGAATTTAAGAATCGGTATTAATCAAATTTCTATAATTCACAATTTTTCATTAATCAAATAATATGTATTGATTAGGCTTTAATTTTCTTTTTAAGTTTTTAGAAAAAAAAAGAACAAATAATAAATATTAATAAATAAGAAAGAATAAAAAATCAATATTAATAAATAGATAACTATAATTTAATCAAGCACAACAATTTTGTCTAGGTCTTTATTATAATACATCTTGTGAGACTTTCCTAGCTTATAAATTATGTGTAAGTTAATTAAGTAATTCATTGATTCCTTCTCCTGTTTTTGTTGATATTTCACAATACAAAAGGTTTTTAGCTTTACAAAATTATTGAACCTTTTCTTATGCAATACATCTGACTTCTACTCCATCATGAATTAGATCTAATTTATTTCCTACTATTATTATCACAATTCTATCATCAGCATTATTGTAAATATCTTCATTTATCATTTAGATCTACCTTTCAACCAGTATTGTAAATTTTCATAAGAATATAAATCAGTTAGATCATAAAATAATAATGCTCCTTATGATTAATGAAAATGGCTAAATAGTGTAATTAATACTTTGAAGTCAAGGACTTATATTTCTCAGATCCAGCTAAATCAAAAATATTATACCTGTATCCCAAATTTTCAGATTAATTATTGAGTCCTTCAAAACAATCTACTTTGAAGCATACTCAACTCCAATTGTAGATTAAGGTTGTCTTGGTGCAACATTTTTAATTATTCTAATAAAGAAGCTTGTCTTCCCAACTTTGCTATCCCCTACTAAAATAACTTTATTTGATATATAATTTACCTTTATATGATTATATTGAATTCATAATATAATTAATAACTATTCAATTATATTTTTAGGAAATGTTAAACAACAATAATTTTTATTATTCTACTATTTATTTATATATAACAACATAGTGCTATGTAATTCATCAAAATTATTTTTTTATTGAATTTCTAGCAGTTAACTATTTAAGAAAATTCTTGCATAGATTTTGTCTTAGGGAATATAAATGATATTTCTAGTTCTCAATTTTCTTGGTTGTTTTAAATTAATAAAAATTAAATTCTTTAATTTTTAGTACATTTTGTTATATCATTTTGACATATCATTTTTTAAAATTTATATTTTGAAATTAAATGTCAAAAATCAATCAAAAAATAGATAATTAAATATTATTTAAAAATATTGTTAAAATCTCTTAAATTTATTGTTATCATATGATATGGTGTTGTTATTAACTGATGTCATTCTGTAGTTTTTTAGTTTTTTTAAAAATCATCTCCTTGAGACAATATTAAAAATTGATGGTATCCTATTTTAGTATTTCTATATTAGAATTCATCTCTCTTGATATGATTATGGTTTAGAATTTTTTTATTTAGAAAACTTTTTACACAAAAATTGTCTTAAGAAAATTATTATTCAGAATCATGTCTGTCTTTATCATTACGTTTCTAAATATTTTTTTTTGAAGATAATTCTATTCGTTTTAATCTATATTAAAAATTAATAATACTTTTTGAATTCCAATATTAAACGAGCTTAAGGTAAAAGATATAATCTTAATTTTTTATACTATTACTTTATTCTAGATTGCTAAATTTTATGAGTCTCAAAGAGTTTTTAAATGTAAGGTTTAGAATTTACAAATTTAGGAAATTATTGTACTATTTATTCTTTTAATACGTCTACCTTCTCATAATGCTTTTTCAAATAAGCAAATATAATCTATATTACCATCTTAAGAATATAGAAACTATTAAGAAATATAATTATGAAATAGAAAGGCCATACTATTTCATAAAATTTCTATTATTATGCTGTAAAGATTGAACTAGCCAAAATGATAGATACTGCACAAACTACTGTTGATTCTGTGTCAATTTGATTTAATTATCCAGTCATATATGGCCTTTATTTGATTGTTATTAAACTATAACTAAATAGCACAAGAAAAACTAGAGATGCTTTTATAGAAATATGATCATCATAATAAGTTAAAACAATTATTATAATCTCTTTTTATATTATCTTAATTGTTTCCCAGAAATAAGCATGTTTTCCGTATTCATTATACAAATATCCCCATGTCTTTCTAACTTAAGAAAAATCAAGACGATCTCTATTTTTATAGACTCCATGCCATAAAAAGAAAGGAAGAATAGTACCAAAAATTAATAATAAGGGTAAGCAAAATGTGATCAACCATTAAGTATGTTAATTTGTATCATATCTATATGCCACATTTCCTTGGATCCAATATTCATCCGATATCTTTCTGTATGAAAAGAGTGAAATAATTCCACCTACCAAATTTGGCTAAAAAAATATGAATAAATATATCAATGATGTAGTAATAAAAGAAAAGTTGAATTTTGTTATTTTAATAATAATTGCAATTCCAAATAAACTAAAAATAATTGATATGTAAGTAGAAGTCATAATTAAGCTCCAAATAATTCGAAAGTATATTATCAATATATCTGTGATATTAATTAAGAAGCAATCTAATGAATATGCTAAAGTATTTACAGGATTACCAACACTATTGAAAACTGAGGAAAATCCTATTGGTATTTATAATTAAAAGGTAGTTATGGTTGATATAATTTAAAGATAATTTGTAAATACTTTGATAAAAATAGCAGCTTAAGCTTCTTTTATTGCTACTCTCACTCCAAAAGCCTTCAATCTTAATCCTTTTACAAATTCCTTAATCATTTATGTAGTGCTGCTCACTGTTATCAATGTTGTTATTATTGTCCAAAGACTTAATAAAATTATACTAATAATATTGTAAGCTATATCATCACAACTTCCACATGAATAGACTGAACTTACAGAATAAGATCCGCCTCCTCTTGAATTATATAAATCACACTATTCACACAAAGCTCCTATATGTCCTAATATGCATGATTCATCTCCTGGTATCCAGCCTCCTTTACAATTCTCCAACAAATGATAACAATTTTCAATAGTTTCACTATAATAATAAGCTCTCCAATTGTGTTCCCTTAATTCTATCATAGATGATTCCAACGACTTTATTTTAGTATCATCTTTATAACTGCAATTTTAAGCATTCCTTGAAACTTAATATTAATTTTTAAAGGTATCACATAGAACACACCCACCAGATGTTTTATTTAAGAATTCACCCAATTAACAAGGAAATGTTCGAATATCAACTAGTAATTTATAATTTGTGATATAGTTATAAATTTTATAAGGTGGATTCTCCTGATATTAAGGGACTGAAACGCTATTACATTAAATTTATAATTGAAGAATAATATCTTTATCATAAGTAGGATTAAAGAAAATTATTAGATCATCTAAATTATAATCTCCTGTAGTCTCATTAAATTAAACTTCATATTAAGATAAACTATATTCAACATTAAATTCCTCTCTTTATGAACTTAAATTAATAGCTTTTGGCTACAAAGTACAATAAGAACCAGACAAACCCATTATTTGTTTTTAAAACTTATCCAAAGCAATAATCCTTAATGTTAGATTATATTGAATAAACAAAAATTAAGCATTATCGAAATGTCTATAACTGGATATTTGTATTCCAGAAGGCAACATTAACTAATTCATTTTTGAATTAAAACCTAATATATTATAAGGAATAATGATAATTTATTCAACAATTTCATTATCATTGTATTTTAATTCTTTCTTCTCCAATAATGTTCTACCTTCATCGATTGATAATGTTAATGATCTTGGTTTCTCGACAACATTAGATCCAAATAATGTTGAATTATTAGAATTCAATTCTAAATCTAATTATTTGGTTAATTGCAATTATTAAGAATTTAAATATAAACCTCCTGCAATCTTAGCTGTATTTTCATTTATTTTAGAATCAAAGATATATAATTCCTCATCTTAAGATGAATAGTAAATTGCACCTCCAATATCTGCAATATTATTTTAAAAAATACAACCTTTTATAATTGTATTGATTCTGATTATTAAAAGCGAACCACCATATAATGAAGTGTTATTTTGAAATAAACTCTATTTAATAATCACTTAATATTTCAGGCTATTCAAAAGATTTTCATAATTGTGTTATTATAAAATTCGATAATTTATATCAGATTCTAAATTAGTTAAATCATTTTTATTTTTAGATATTGAAAGACATCCAACCCTTCCACAGTTACTATTTTGAATCATAATTTAAGAAAGCTTAATATTATCTTCATTTTATTTTTCAATTTCAACAATTCTAATCAAACCATTTTAACACTTTGTACATAAAACATTTTTAAAATTCAGTTTTTCAATTCTTAAATAATGTCTAGAATTGATTTATTCTATTTCAATTAAACTAAAAGTAAATTTTGGATCTCTGAAGATTTTAATTTAATTACAAATTAATTGATTTAAATTTTCTTAAATTAAATCTTTTTATATAATTTAAAAATTTTATGGTAAGATTTCTAGGGGACAATCCAATTAAATGAATGATGTTCTATTTATTACTAAACACTCTCTAATTTCAGTTTTTTAAATTTGTTTTATCTAAGTTATTTAAAGATTGAATATTTCTAATATTCCAACATATTCTAAGAATATTAATAATATTATTACATTATCTTAAATTTAATTGGATCAGAGATGATAATGCTACTGTACAATTAATGATTATTATATTTGATAATTAAATGTGTTCAACTTGTACAATTTTTAGTAACATTTACATATAAATAGATTAGAAACTACAATTTTACATGCTAAAATTTCCAAATTAAACAAAAACTAAAGGATTTGAATTAATAATATTTGAAATATCATCATCAGTTATACTATCTAATTATGAATAAAAATTTTCTAATCCTTCTTATGTTGAATAGAAATCAATATTTGAAAAAGTAATCTGGGATTTAATATTATCTTTGTTGGAAAGAGTATAAGAAAAAAACTAATTTTGTATTGAAAAGCAGTTCTTGACAATCAAATAATCAAATTCAATATTATTGTAAGTTTCAGATGGACTGAGATATATTGCACCACCATCATATCTGCTATATGATCCATCAAATGTAACATTTTTTATCTTTAGAGTTAAAGTAGATGAACTAGCATCGATGTAAAAGCAGCCCCCTTTTGAAAAATATAAAGACGATAATGTGGATTTAGTATTAGAAAATTGAGAATTAGTGATATTAATTACACTTTAACCAAATACGACTATATAGAAACCACCTCCAAAAATTGAATTAGATGAGTCTACCTTTACATTTTCAATCAGAATTGTATTTGCAATTAACATGCCATTACCACTATTTGATTTGATTGGAAATATCAATTAAAAGTTGATAGCAGTTATATCTTAAGTGCTTGATAATATAATTTACTTACTCAATATTGAGTAATTCATTATATTGTTATTTTAAAAATTAGAATTCTTAATATATAATTTCTCTGAATCTATTTATAAGATTGAATCAGTTGAATTTGTAATAATATTTTAATAAAATTAGCAACTTTACATTATAACAATTTCATATTTGCAAGATAATAATAATGTTGTCGAAGAAACCAAAGACAAAGATTCATAATATTAATTTAGATGATTTTAGGAAAAAATTGTATTCATAAAAGTTATAAGTCCTTTTTATTTAGATTCTATAAAAATTAAAGCAGTTTATTTATTAGTTTCACTAATTATTAATAAGTTCGAATTAAGTTAAGAGTCTTTGATATAAACTGTTTCCTCAACTAATTTCTACATTAATTCATACCCTTGTAAGATAATTAAAGGAGAATTAAAACTTAAACAGTTTGATACTGTTA